CTCCTCCCTCCGAATCTAAATAACTGGGGTCATATAATCATAGTACTGTAACTCAGATCAGTCACTCCGTACTGAATCATCAGGGTCATACAAGGCCTCTCTGACCATGAGAATTTAAATCTGAGAACAAGTGTTTCCAAATGTACCCCTCTTTCATTTAGCCCTTTAGTGGTTTTCCATGGTTATTTCCCACGATTGAACACTACTGGCCGCGGGGTTGTCTCATCATTAATGTTGATATGAAATGTGCCACAGTGAAGACAAAAATAACCAGGAGACGGTCTTTTCTCTGTTACCGTCATGGAGTGACTGTCCAATGATTCAATGACATATCGCCAGGACACAACTGCCGTGGCCTTCATTAATCCAAAGCTCTCGCAAACCTGTCAGAAGATTCTGGGAGGGCAAGTGAGTCGATGAGCGAGCGCTGTTTGATTTAGCAGGCAGAAGATGCTTCCTCTCCCTGGGGCTCTGTGCACTGACCCTTCAGCGGACACAGCCAGGCTACCATCAGCATATCAATGCCCTGCCTTCTACACAAGGGCCGATTGGGGCTTGCCAGGCTTAACTTAACACGCTTTCAACACTGTATCAATAACACTTTGTTCGTAATCAAAGCTGTGGCAACAAAGAAATGTTTCTCTAGAAACAAAGATGCAAATAGGAGATTTGTGTCCAGATGGGGATTTATAGATTGAATCCTTATTATAACTCTTGGGGATTGTACTACGAGTAAGGGAAGTTATGGATGAGGGTGGATGTTAAGGAGGAAAGGAGTTGAGGTTTCTGTCCACATTGACCTATTTAAGGAGGACTCCATCAGGGCAAATCTTTGCTCTTTATCCTCTATCACTCTGTCAGCTGTTCTTTGTGGCCGCACTGCAAGGAGCTAACAGGTCGTTGATGCATCGATGCCAGCAGCGAACGCCAGGAGTCCCAGGCAGCTGGCACTCTCATTCAACCCAAACACAAAGTACAAAGTCTCACTGTGGGCTAATTGGGTCATCTTCATGTGGGAACTATTTGCACTGGGAGATTTTTCCATCATCCCTTGGGATCGGGCGACTGTGGCTGCGAGGGAGCGTGGTCGTCTTCGAACCAGAAGGTTGTGGGTTCGATCCCATAATGTGCAGTCAACATGTCGATGTAACCTTGGGCAAGATACTTAACCCTGAATGTGTGTGTGTGATGGTGTGTGAATCCTAGAGCACTGCTTTGTATGAATGACTTGTGAACGGGTGAATGACTCGTAGTATGTACGAGCTTTAAGGGGTCGAAAAGACCTGATAAAGCGCAATATAAGTGTGGTCCATTTACCATCCCTTGAATTTTGCGTGAGAGTAGCTGAGAGGAAACTGTAAGAAAAGAAAATGTTATGTGAAAGTTATTACATTAACAATCAAATACTTTGAAACCTATCGTAATTTGAACTGTGTGACCCTTGATGAAAGACGCAATGTCAATTTTGTTGACAGTTTAACCAGGGCTGTGACAGGAAATTACACAATAATTACTATTTTGCTTATGCGAGGACAGAAGCCCCTAGCCCTTACGTGTAAATGGTTCATCAGCTGGGAAGATGAGATAAGAAAAGAAATGCAAATGTGTGATTTCTGCTGACAAACTTCGAACTCTTAAACAGGAAGTAACATCTTAAAAAAGCAGATGCTCAAATTGAACACTGTGACCTTCCCCTTGTGGTGTTGATCAGAGGAAACAGACTGTAGGTTTGACCGCAGTCTTTCTTCTGCACAGCCTGGACAGTGAAACCCCTGCTGGGTTTTACCTTTACATTACTCACACACACACACACACACACACACACACACACACACACACTTGGCTCTTGGTCGTGTGCTGAGGCAACAGGACAGGTGCTACACTTGTAGCTCCAGTGCTCATGTTTAATCAACATCATGCATGTTTAATGACGGAGGGGAAGCGTGGGTCAGTCAGCCGTGTTTCCAGCACACACTGCGGTGTCTCCTCTTCATCAGCAGGCCTGCAAGCCGATTACAGGCGTGCGCATGATGTTTAATAATGTCATCCTGCCCTCTCTCACTTTGCTTTAGTGAACCACTGCTGTGACTTAGAATTCTTCTCACTCGTATATTAGATTTCTGAGGACATGACACTTGTTTGTGTGGAGGATGCAGTCTATTGTCTGCTGTTGTCCAGACAAGACAGGAGCTGCATTTTAAACAAGATTGATTTACTCTAATCCCAGTTCACTTTTTGTTTCTACCTGTGTACTATGTGTGTTACTAAAATATTTCCCGGACATTTTAGAAAGAGTGACAGACACCTTTTATAATACCTTAGAATACAGATGGGTGCAGATGTTCTGCTGCAGAGATTTAAGTCATGTTTTTTTCCGTGTTGGGTTTGTTCCAGTGACATTGATAGCTCCTACATTCCTCCTCTTCTTTCCTTAATCTGTGCCTCCTTCCCTTCCCAATGATCCTGGTTGCTCCTCCTCCTCCCCTGACAGCTCACATACTGGAAGAGAAGGAGCATACGCAGGACATCTGTGGGAAGTGAGATTATGAAACAGGCCTCCCGTCCTCTGTTGACCCCGGTCACCGCACTCAGGGGTCCATGATTACCATGCAAAGCATAGTGAAAAAATGCATGTTTGACTTTTTCTTGACTTCAGCATTTTTGAGTTGAGGGTCTGAGATGTATGGTGTTCTTTGTCTGAGTTTCCTCTCATGTGCAACGTGATATGTCATCCAGATGCCGCTTCAGAACACCTTGTTTTGAAAAGCATCTGAAACGGCTTAAACAATGTTAGCCTGGAATATTTTTCACATGTATTTCATCCCTGGGCTTTTCTGTTCTGCTGCCGAGCACAACTTCTATTGGACTTAAAAAAAACAAAAAAACACGACCAAGTACAGCAAGCATTACGGCTCTATGGGTGGCAGTGGCAGTCTGCCGGACAACGCACCACTCGGGTCCAGAGTAAAATAACTCAACCGCTATTGGATTAATTGGCATGGAATAATTACTTTTAATCCAGTACTTGCATAGGTTTGGAAGTTGTGTTTGATATTAAAATGACTTGACAACTATTTGATAAATTACCATTACATTAGTGGATGTATTCTCTTGGGGAGTTACTTTACGTGTGAAATGAAGTTGTATGAAGCCATTTGAGTCTCCGTTGGAAGCTGAATGAAGCCTAGTAAATTGCCTTGATTTGGTGTCACGTGAGTCAGTGTTTGTTGGGGCTGTAGACTACAATTTGGTCTTTAAAAATCTGGAAGTGTGGAGTTATAAAGGAGTGAACTCACATTTAGCTCTGGGCTCAATTAGCTGCTAAAAGTATAACACACCTGAATCTCCAAAAAAAACGGTAGTAGAGTTGCATTATGGGTCATGCAGTCAGTAGCCTAAAGGTTTTAACAAGGCAATAATGTGTAGAATAAAAAGAAAAAAACATATCTCTGCCTTAAAAGGTTAAATAAGTTCAGTCCTGTTTTATACTTGTTATCTAGCGCCATCATTGCATCAGAACTTTGATTTATGACCAAATGCCTGCCAAATTACATTGCCATAGGGAACAAATAGTACATTCTCATTTTTTAATGGCATACCAGACAGTTTTCTCTATCAAAATAAACTCCACCTTTTATAAAAAGACCTTAGTTGTAACTAAAACACTAATCACTAATGCTCAATGATGGTAATCCTTGTCATATCTTCCAACTGTGCAGCAGGAAAACACATCCATCAGAACTACTGATGTTGTATTTCATCCTGTAGATATCAAACACTACTACCACTGCTTTCTAATCTCATGACTCCTTAACTGTAGGATTCGTATAACTCAAGAGTGTTGAGTATTTCTGTAAGCCGAGTTAGATGATACTTTAATTTGAGCTAAAGTTGGAAGAAGTTCATTTTTAGCCTGGCCAACATTCCTCAGTAGATTTCACAGCAGAGACAGATACTCCCCTGATCATCCACACGTGGGTATCTGCCGTTTAGTCGGCCTGCATTAGGGCTGTGCGATTATGGCAAAAATCATAATCATGATTATTTTGGTCAATAATTGATATCACGATTATGAAATACGATTATTCATTGACTTTGAAAACATCCATTTATTGAACTTTTAAACAAATACAAATAATAATTTGAACAGTATCTTTTTAACTGTTGATTTCCCTGAACGTATAATTCAACTGAAAAACCAATACAAAAATAAATAAAATAAATGATACATTTATATTTACATTTAAATAAATAATATCAAAATAATAAATACCAATAAACAAGATCAACAAATATTTTGGAGTGCACTTCAACAAGCTACTAAACATATATAAATATGATAAATACAAATACATTTGATCAAATATGTTGCAGTGCACTGTCACATCCTAGCAAAGCAAAATAATCGATTATGTTGTTTTCGTAATTGTGGCAGGCCAAAATCGTAATTGCGAGTAAAATACGATTAATTGCACAGCCCTAGCGTGCATACAGTCTTAACCCGTTCCTCTGAAATGTGAATGTAGGCTTCTGAATTGGACATGGCTCTGGTTGTGATTCCATAGACACAATTTACATGATTCATTATATTCTTCTGGTTTATGACACCAAATCCAAAAATAAAGTCAAAATGCGACCCCGCTTCCTCTAACATACACTTAACATGTTAGGCTAATTTAAGGTAGTGAGTGTGTTCTGCAGGTAAAGAGACAGATGTTTGCTTCATCCTCAAAAGCAGAGAGGAGCTCGAGCCTCTCAGCTGATGCCTTGAATACTAACTCTGCAGAAAATAGGTCAAACACCCTTAGCCAAAAGACGTTGCTCTTCTAGTTCCCCAGGTGGTTATTAAAGGGAAAAAGCTACTTTCTAAAAAGAGGAAGGGTGGTTTTAAGTGAAACTCTCTTCGAATATTTTCCTGTATTTGCTGTGGAAATATCTGCTGACTGATTTGTGTTCTCCTTTTCTCTCCTCTGCCCTTCCTTTCCTTCTCCTCTTCCCAGGCTGTCAGCATCAATAAGGCCATCAACACACAGGAGGTCGCTGTCAAAGAGAAGCATGCCAGGAATATCCTTACATTGTCAGTGTGTGTGTTTTTGAGGAGAAGAAGTGTGTTTATCCTGATTTCCTTGTGTGTGTTTGTCTGTGTGTGGAGCTGTTGCTTTGAGGCTGCAGGGTAACGTTTGCGCAAGATCAAAACAACAAACTTGGTGTAGCCTCGTCAGCTGCAGAGCTAATTTTGTCATGTGTTAAAAAAACACAGAGCTCTCAGACAGAGGGGAGTTCTGTTGAGAGGCTGCAGAGCCCCAGGGAGAGGAGAAACCTAATACAGAGGTTCATTATTTTAGTTTTATGACTTCAAAAAATAGATTCAGTAAAAACATTAAGTGTGTATTTTCATAATTAAAACGTGCAATTTGGCTTTTATAAGACACACTCTGCAGTGCAAACCCTTTTAATCATATTTTTAATGAGGACATTAGACGCTTGTGCATCATCAGCAGCTAATTTGTGTGTTTCCTCTTTATTTTTACCCTTCAAAAGCATTGTCTGAGCTGTCAACATAGAAACAGGATTTTGTTTAAACTGGTGATTGGTGTCTTAGAGAAGCAACGCCTTTTAAACAAGAAATTCCAGTAAAAATAATGTAAAACTTATTGTTAAAACATGTATTTTATGTATATGGTTTGGTCAAGAAGTAATAATGATATAGATATTTCAGTTTATCAGAGTGACATTCCTAGCCAATGTAAATGTCCCCTCTGTGGGACTAATAAAGGTATTCTGATTCTGATACTGATTCAGATTCTGAAGGAGGCAGAGAAATACAAAATGACAAGATGATAAAATGTAACGTTTAATTTCACGGCTCACAAGCCAAACTAATGGCCCACAAAATAATTCACTGTGATCCTTGACCGGCCCCCGGCACCCTGCATCTTGGGGACCCATCATGAGAAAGGGGCCCACACTTTCTGGGCAGCGGTCAACCGGCTGCCCCTCTCCAGCAACGCCGTGCTCTGCTGGAAGTTCTGCCACGTCTTCCACAAGCTGCTGCGAGACGGCCATCCCAGCGTACGTACAGATGACAAAGCTTTACCATTTCCACTCATACACAGATCTGATCTCCTCTCTGTCTCTTGTGTTAACTACAGATCATTTTCCTCATGATTCATCATTTAGTTGAAATCACACCACATGTACATTCAGTTAGCATCATAACTGATGACGAGTCCTGTTTTATTAACTAATTTCCCCGTCCTCTCTGTCTCCGCTGCTTTCCCTGCAGGTGATAAAGGACTCCATGAGGAACAAGGCTGATCTAACTGATATGAGCCGGATGTGGGTAAGGACACAGAGAACATTATACAAATCACATCACGCAGTCACAATGAGGAGGATCTTATGCCATAGTTGATCTTCTCTTCTGTGGACTCTGAAACTGATTGTGTCTTGTCAAAGGATGTCGATATTTAGAAACACATTACATCAATATCATTAATAACGCTAAGGCCACCAGTGATATAGGCAGCATATCATTGTTTTTTTCTAAACCAGCCCCTGTAATGAATCAGCGACTAAAATGAATGTCAACTTGTATTGATCCTCTCCGTGTCAGGGGATTGGAGTATAGACATAAGGATAATTGTTATTAAAAGAAGCTTGGACAGAGCAGAATTACACTACAACCCTGATGTGTTTCTCATCAGCCTAATGCTGTCTGAGTGACAGACATTGTAGCTTCTGATGATCAAAGCCATGTAAAAACATGCCAAGTGTGACAGTCAGAGCTCACAACACAATGCCTGCCAGCTACATGATTTGACTAATAGACAGTAGTAGTATGAGATAGACTGTTAGCTTCTCTGTGGGAAATCTCTTATACCAGCTGTTCTTAATTACATAACAGTATATAGTTATGTGAAGGGGTTAACATATATTACGATTTGCTTACTTGTGTAACTTGTGTTATACTAGCAATACTTCAATGTTGATTTAATGTATCATTGAGAAAATAAAGTAGCCTAGCTTGAGCTAATGAACGCAATCACATACAAGTATACAATCTTTAGGCCAAGAAAATAATATAAATACTGTGTGTGTAACCGTCTGTACATACCTACACATGAGCTAAAAATTGAACTTGGTTTCGATATAACCTGTACAGACACAACACCCTTAAGCCACACAATCTGAAGAGTCACTCTTCACCGGACGTTATGTGAGGGCCTGCTCTGCATTCCTGGGTGTTTTTGTATGACTCATTTTTTGCTGAAGTCACTAGGCAGGAGGATACAGGAAGTTTGGCCCCTGTGATCGGGGTTGTGGCCTCTCTTTTCCTCTTGTGTCATCACCACCCACACTCTCAGGCTCAAGGAAAAAGGAAGTGAAAAAGCAATTGGCCAAATGGCTGCTCGTATCAACTTTGTCCACACTCTGTGACCAGGCACATTTTCACACATGGTGAACTAAACAGAGATTTTAAATCGGCTTGGCAGCAGGAAGGGAGAATATTTTTGGCTGTTGTGGTGTAATTCAGCTCCACAGTCTTTGCTCACATATGTATTTTGTGCTGCCTTCCTCCAAAGTGCCACAACGGATTGTCTCAAAACTAAAAGTGATTGCTCTTTAAGTTTCCTTTAACCAGCAAACCTGCAAACCCTCCAGGAGGAGAACATTTGTTGTTATACCTTTGATCATGTCTCTCTTTATCTTCATGTCCCTTATCTCCCCCCTCTCTCTCCCCCCAGGGTCACCTGAGTGAAGGCTATGGGAAGCTGTGCAGCATCTACCTCAAACTGCTCATCACCAAAATGGAGTTCCACATCAAAGTGAGTCGGCCTGGCCTATAAAAATCCAGCGCCAGTCTCCCTCATCACTCATTATCTTTGTCTCAGACTCTCTTTTTAGTGCCAGCGTGTCTCTGCGGGTGGGAAAGCCTTTTACAGCAAATTCTGTCTTTAACACTAATGGCGTCTCAAGAATCTGTAATGAAGCCTTTTTATGAGACATCAGAGGAGAGCGGTGCAGGAAGGCAGAGTCAGTGCTATATCAGGAAGATATGGCTAATTTTTGCTCCGCTGAAGGCTAATTATCAGGGTGAGGGTTGTCTTAGAGGGCAATTTGACATGAAGTAACATGGCAGTCAAAGGAGAAACACATGCATCAGCCTGCAGTATGATCTGTAAGCCTCACTCTGCTGAGCTCACAGAGAAGGAAATGCTAATTCTCTAGTCAGACACTAGATCAGGGGTGTCAAACTACATTTCATTGCGGGCCACATTCGCATTATGGTTGCACTCAAAGGGCCGGTTGTAACTTTAAGACTATATAAAAATACATATATAAATATATAATATATATAAAATAATGTATTACATTACGTTATTGCCTCTGCATTGGATTATTAACGGATAGGGTAATAACTTCATAATTAACTACGTCTGAAAGCAGAAGTCTAGGGCAAATAATTGCAAGTCTCTTCAGTGAGAATGTCACAAAAAGATTTTAAATTTGAGATGCATTGTGCTCCATGTATGGGCAACAAGCTTCTGTAAAGCGGCATGTAACCGTATAATAAACATATCATATTTTTTGCAAGCTCTTGTGGGGCCACATAAAATGAAGTCGCAGGCCGGATTTGGCCCCCGGGCCTTGAGTTTGACACCCCTGCACTAGATAAAGGTCAATTTGTAGCAGGACAAGGGAAAAAGTAAACACACACCTACAGATTGAACTACACTCTTACCCTGAGTGACAAAGGACAACAAATACTTCTCCCCCCCCCCCCACACTCACTCACAGTCAATCCACATGATGTAAACAATCGTAGGCTCTCGGAGTCACATAAGTGATTGATGTTTTGAGAGTTAATTTGACTTATTTGTTTGTGTTTATGTATCTATTGGATTTAAGTTTTTCTGGTAAATGGTCTGTGACATGAGTTGTTTGTTTAATGTACTGATTATTATTTGGGGTTAAAAAATACAGACATTTTATGTTGAAAGTGAATTGGTTGATTATTATTTTCTTTTGTAAACTTCAGTAGCTAGGTCACCGGGCTATCCCTCTGTTTCTGCGTGTTTAAAGCATATCATTTTTTGACAGCTGGCTATATTAAAAATTCCTCTGTCTGGCGCCCAAGTTTAATTTATTCGTTCAGGGATATGCTGCGTTCACACCGGACGCGATGCGAATATTCGCATAAGACCTACGCTACAAATTAATCAACAATCAGCTCCTGTAAGCGCAGTCTTTTATTAACTTTATAAAGCAAAGAGCTGGTAGAATAATATCTACTTGAATTATTTTTATTTGCTAGATATTATGTATTGCAAAACATATGGTGCATCTAGCACTATTTTCTAATCTGAAACATGTGTTATGTGAAGCGATGAGGATTTGTTGTCTCTTTTGAGTCCTCACATTAAACATAATATATTTGAGCTAAAGAGTAACCAGAACGGTTTTCACTGATTTAAGTGCTGCTGTTTGATCCATCATAAAAACCTTTTTGAATCAGAGCCAGGTTTCTTGTTTTGATTGGCTTCAACGAGTGAGCTAAAACAGTCAAAGTCCAAACAAAACATTTACCTCAGATTTTCACAGCGTTTCATTCTGGAAACTTACCAAACAGTGGAAAGGAACTATTCAGATAATTGACTTAAAGCACAAAATATCTTTTAATACGAAAAATGGATCACATGATTGGTTATGTATGTCACACAGAATCATCACCTGACTCTACAGTTTTACTTTTTAGCTATTTCTTTTGATTTTCTGGCCTACAACTTTACTGATTTGTATTTTTTTCTCGCCACTCACCTAAAAACACACACTGTACACTCCCTGCTGGGCAGCTGAAGAGCCATATTATTTTCTGAGTAGTAGAGACAAAAACTATAGTAAAAAGAAAGTTCCTTTGATACATATCAGATGTAAAGGAAATATTTAAATAAAGAAAAATGTTAATGATTATTAAAGGGGAGGGTAGTGTGGCAGAGCATAATAGGGCCTCTTTAAACACGTATTCTGCCTGTAGATTGTCATGTGTTTGTAAAGATGGGCGTCTGAACCTCCTCCTGTTGTCTTCTCTTTCAGAACCCTCGTTTCCCTGGCAACCTGCAGATGTCGAACAGACAGCTGGACGAGGCGGGAGAAAACGACGTTAACAACTTGTGAGTGTGGCCTGCTGCTGCTTTGCCTGGCTTTGTTGTTGTTGTTGTTGTTGTTGTTGTTGTTGTTATTGCATGCCAGACCACAACATCCAGATATGAATACGTTTCACTGTTGACCAAAGTCGGAAAGGACATTTAATTGGTTGAATAAATGAATCATAATGCACCACACAGCCACAATAACTCATTAATTGGGATATTTTTAGCGGTGTTGTTGAGCAGAAGTTAGAAGAAAAACTGTTTAGAAATTCAAGTGGTCAACAAAGTTTTGATTTTTAATTTGTTTTAATCATCACAAGGCTTAGAATAAGGAGATTCAATTCAAGAAATGGCAAGGAAAGGTTTAATTAAATTATTTTCTTAATTGGTTCTGTATTTGTTAGTCTCCCTACAAGAAGTGTGGTTATTTGGCTGCTACAATTCCCTGCTTTCATATCGCCCATGCCATGGTCCCTGAACTTTATGGCTTCTCACTCTTTAAAAAAAAGCTAATGTCCCCCAGCAACCGCTCATAGGTTAGTTATTAGAGATGTGAAAGGTTCAAACAAGAAATAGTTTTACCTTCTGTAGTTGCTATATTCTAAAATGTTCAGACGCTTAAAAAAAAGTATATAATGCTTAGCCATAATGTCAGTACTATACATTTTCAGGTGTGCATTATGCATTATTTTGGCGATTGTACTCAGCTCTGGAGGAGAACACTCACCTGCAAAAATCCAAAGAAACACAATCTGTTGTTGTTGTTGTTTGTTTTGTCATGCTCGTGACTGGGGCTGCACAATATAGAAAATATGCAATTAGCTTTTTGAACATAGCAATTAGGATAAAACCTGCAAGAAATAAACAGATATTAAACTGTTCTCTGATAAAATATTCTGCTGATTATAGAATACTTGCATATTGCTTGATGAATATAACATGATAGTTACATTTTCTAAGTGCAGTAATATAGGTAAATAACGTAGTCCTTAGCTATGTGTTTAGTTGAAATCGTCATTGTGCAGCCTTTCTTTGACCATCAGTTGTGTGAGACGGGAAATACATCAATCTGAAAGCACCTTTTTACACTCCTTGATCGGACTCACTTGGACACATAAAACATGTTTTGTTTGCTGAAATCGTGTAAAAGCACTCATCACTCTTTTTTCCGTGTCTCCCCTCGTCCAGCTTCCAGTTGACGGTGGAGATGCTTGACTACCTGGAGTGCCAGCTCAACCTCTTCCTGGGCGGTAAGCTATTCTGGTCTGGCTGTGTGCTCTCTGCTACCAGCTGTGCTTATCTGAGCATGATGTAACACACACAGACTGATGACACACAGGAAGACCGTCTGACTGATAGGTGTACTGGGCATGGTGGTGCACAGAAATAGACGCTGACAGCTATTAGTGGTTACAGATAATAGACTGTTGCTCTGCTGTTTTCTGTCCGAGTCATCCTGGATTTATGTCTCTTAAAATATGGGACGGGGCTAAGAATAGACAGTTAGGATGTGACCAGGAGCTCAGAAGAAAATGTGGGAAAGCTGTGCACTCCCATTCAGAAATGAACAAGGGAAATTATTTGTTCTATGTATGAAGCCTGTCATTTAGCGTCCTGAGGTTGATGTTATCTCCCCTTCCTCCTTCTATATCTAGAACATGAAAATATCACATTATAGTCTGTCACCTCACACCCAAATCTCAAAGCCCTCGTCAATTTCCTCTTCTGGTCTGGTGTATTTTAAAAGCATAACGTCATCTGAGGGTAAAGAGGGCCAGGCCAGGTGTGTGTGGTGTGGTGTGTGTGGTGTGTGTTGTGTGTGTGGTGTGTGTGGTGTGTGTGTTGTGTGTGTGTGTGTGTGTGTGTGTGGTGTGTGTGTGTGTGTGTGTGTGTGTGTGTGTGTGTGTGTGTGTGTGTGTGTGTGTGTGTGTGTGTGTGTGTGTGTGTGTGTTGTGTGTGTGTGTGTGTGTGTGTGTGTGTGTGTGTGTGTGTGGTGTGTGTGTGTGTGTGTGTGTGTGTGTGTGTTTGTGTGTGTGTGTGTGTGTGTGTGTGTGTGTGTGTGTGTGTGTGTGTGTGTGTGTGTGTGTGTGTGTGTGTGTGTGTGTGTGTGTGTGTGTGTGTGTGTTGCAGGAAACCACACCTCTGCAGTGAACAGAGGCTCTCCATGCTTTAGGGGTGGTGTAAATACGGTGGCAGGCAAATGAGTCAGACAGTCCTGTTAGTGTTCAGGTTGCTGCTCCACTTTAAGCCTTTTTCCATCCCAATAATCTGCTCTCAAACATTTTATTACTCAATTATTGTGGCGGAGAGCACAGCAGAACTTAATTGATTCATTAAAAATTCATGACGGATGAGCCTTGTGCACGCCTGTTTCGCTGTGTTTGTGTTGATAATCACTCGTGTGTGCTTGTTGTGTGTTTGTACCGATGAATATTGATCTTGTGAGCATGTGTATTGATCTGGTGCGTGTTTCTCTCTCCCCTCCCAGTGTTCAGCTCTCTGGACATGTCCCGCTCGGTGTCGGTGACGGCGGCGGGGCAGTGTCGACTCGCCCCGCTCATCCAGGTGATCCTGGACAGCAGCCACCTGTACGACTACACCGTCAAGCTGCTGTTCAAGCTGCACTCCTGTGAGTCAAACTGTACTACATGCTCAGTGGAAACCGTACACAGTAAAGGTTGCTCAATGTTGGTCAAGAAACAAGTATTGTGCCTTTTATTAAATAATGAAATAATTCTGGAATACCTTGTAGTCTACAGTCAGAGGGAAATGCCACATAGATACAGATCCACATACAACACAGAGCAGTTAGTCATTGTTTGTGTAATGTATGTAAAAAGATGGAAATCAGTGGTCGTAAATTCAGTTGTCACTCCAACATGGACTTGTTAATGGTTGTGAATTAGAGTTCCAACCTTTTTTTAAAACAAAATGGGAATTAAATTAGTTATTATTATTAGTTAATTTTCCATAATTTTTGCACAAAGATGCTTTTGTAATGTTTAATATATCCCTTTAAAAAAAAAAGATTTCCCCATTTGTATACCAATAGATTCTGGCCTTATGACTGAGGCTGTGAGACTCATAGTAATGTTTTGAAGGAACTTGATGATTAGCTATTCTCAAGTTTCATTGCTGCTTATCTGCCAATTGCACAATTTCATCAATTCATTCATCAAGTATTGTCCTTGAATTATTTCTGTTATCTGACTTATAGTCCACAAAACCTACAATACTTATTCTACTAATATTCAATTGTGTATGATAAAAATATAAGAAAGTCCTGATATCTGAGAAGCTACAACTACCAAATAGTGGGCCTCTTGGCTTATCGAATAACGTTATTATACTATTTTAATGATGGATTGATTTATCAAAATACTTGCTTTCGCTCACCTCAAAGTATTTCGTAGTATTGGACCGGAAAAACATACTTAAGAAAATAATAATAAAAGCTCAAATTATGCAGCTTTCGAAGACAGATAGACAATAGTAACAAAATCAAAGCCATCATGATGATGAAGATGGTGAAGAAAATCTACATATTTGTTTGAAGTATACTTTAGTTGGATTATATATAGGTTGTTTTTTTGGTATAAGAAAATCTAACTTTAATGCATTGGATTCAGCTGTTGAGTTCCCAGCTTTACCTTGAGCTCTTGAACGTCTCGCATAGCAGAAATAATGTGTGTGGATACTTCAAAGGCATGGCCATTTTCCTTCAAAGATTTGAAGATGACATGCTCAACTCGGAGTTAAAGAATTTTCTAGACCCATTTGCTTCTGAAACCTCTCAAAGCTGGATTACCTCAAAAATGCATGAATTCACTTTCAAAAAGTATTTCTCAGTTTCTGAAAAGAAAAGTGTTTAGGGAGATTTTTGAAGGCTTTCACCTGCCCGCTTTAATACATTCATACTCAGAACCCCACCATCCAAGTGTGCACTCCAACACTATATAAACACACAGAATACCTGAACCGATTTGACGTGCTTGTGTTTGATGTGTGCTTGCAGGCCTTCCAGCAGACACTCTCCAGGGACACAGAGATCGCTTCCAGGAACAGTTTAAGAAGTATGAAGTTCACTTTCAGTCTCAGAAACTCAGCCTGTCACGGTTTCACTCTGCTCATTCACTAAGTGTGAACCCCAGGACTGAGCTTTTAGTACCGTGCTGAATTCATTTTCAATGTCCAACTCTCCTGCCCTCCCTTCCTCTGTCCTGACCTCTCCGTCTCTCTGCTTCAGGTTAAAGAGTCTCTTCTACCGCTCCAGTAACCTGCAGTTCTTCAAGAGGCTGATTCAGATCCCACAGTTGCCTGAGGTGAGGACCGCCCCTCGCTTAGTCTTTAGTTTTCCACATTATAAACACATTTAAGCCTCATTTGACCCGTGACGGTTCTTTCAGGTTTCTGTTCACACATGTGTCTATTGATTTCAAATCTTAAAGCTCTGCCTTCTGATAGTTCATCTATAATTATGGGTTGTTTGTAGACTCAAAAGTAAGTCTTGATGAGATGTATTTCTATGTATTAAACTTCTTTATTTTCACATCAACTGCTCAGCTTTTATCTACCCCCCTTCATTTACAAAAGGCTATGCATGTTTGCTGCTACATGTGATATAAACGGAAATTATAAAAGAGACACGTACGCTGTTTTCACATTTGTGTACTTTTGGTTCACACTCAGTCTTTAATGTACTCATATCTACTTGAGGATGTAACACATAAGCAACATGACATGAAAAAAACATGACCTGCAAATTATTGAGCTGCTATCTGTTTCTCTTCATTTTAAGGAAACCAAAGAAAAAATAACAACTTTATTATCTGCAAATGTTAAAAAAGAAGTTGCCTTCAGACAACTTTTCAACTGTAAACAAGCAAGGCTTATAGGGAACCAAGCTAAAGTCCGATGGTATCATTATTCTCTGGCCTTTACATTGTGCAATCAACATTTGCTTCCTGGTGAGATAAACAAAAAACATTTCTATTGGCACTTTAATGCTTTTATCTTTTTAGCTACATCCCGTCATACAGTGTGAGCTAAGTCTTGCTCTGACAAGTTACTATGACAACAATTCTGACACAAAGCAAATGACCACTTTAATTAAGATACAGTTGAATTGATGTGAGTGAACTTGTGTTGAATGTCGGCACCAGATATTCATATTATACTTACTCTTTTGTTGTAACACATCAGATTTCCGAAGGGTTAAGATATTTTGGGATAATTGTATTATAGAAAAATAATAACCCAAAACCATAGTTATTAAACATTACGATGTTTGGCTCCTGCAGAACCCTCCCAACTTCCTGCGTGCGTCGGCTCTGTCGGAGCACATCAGCCCCGTGGTGGTGATCCCCGCCGAGTCATCGTCCCCCGAGTCGGAGCACGTGGTGGAGACAGACGACCTGGTGGACATGGACGTCCCTGTGATGCCGGTAACTAAACATGACAAGTATCACTGAACGGTGCCTTCTGTAAATGTAATGTGCCGTTGAAGTCAGCGATCCAAACAAACAAGGAGATCGTTGTGTTTTTGGGAGTAGTCATGAGATCGTTTTGAACTGAAGGAGATCAAAGCAGGATGTAACTTGCCAGCAGTGTAGATGTGAATAAGACTCCCTAATAGACTTGTAAAAACACATTTATATACAGATAGTTAGTCAAACTTTACAGTCATGGTGTTAAACATATTGACTTTCCCATAGCCGTTTGTTGAAAATGTATCTGTCTTATTATTCACATGGATAATAAAAAGGTTATTAATGGGATTTTAGACCCAAAATCTAGCTGCAAAACAGCTGGAGCATTGACCGTATATGGGCATATGGAAACAATTGATGGATGATGAGTATATTATGAGTATGTTGAGTGTATATATAAGCATATTCAAATACATGCAGTTATAGAGGCATAATAACTGACAACAAATTAAATTAGAAAATGATGCAATTTTTTGATTTATTTTGATAATTTTGATGAGGTTTTTTTCTTTAACCTTTTCTAAAAGGCTCCTTTGGAGACGAAGTTTGACGACCTGTTTGGCACCACGGCTGCAGTCGACCCTTTCAACTTCAGTCAGAACGGCATGCGCAAGGATGACAAGTAAGGACTGAAAAACAACAGAGATACACAGTAGATCTTTGATTTCATTATGTAAACATGGACATATAATACAAAAATCTGGACCAGAATCAACCGGAATTTCAACACATCTGTTACCTTGAAAATGTAATTGATTTCCTGATTTCATGATTGATGTTTTGTCTGCAACCTCCAGAGATCGTCTGATTGACCAGCTGACGAGAGAGATCCAGGCCCTAAAAGAAGAGCTTGAGTCTTTCCGACTGGAGGTAAAGAATCTAATTATGTATTGTATTGTAATGTAATTATTATCATCATCGATTTCCTAATTAGCCTGCATAGTTATCTTACAAATATAATTTCTCTCACAAAATTCCCAGAACTAATGTATTTTAGCTCACTCTCCCATCTCTTTTTCTATATCTTTCCCTCCCCAGAGTGGTCGCTTGTGCCAGGCGCTGAGGGGGCGTGTCAGTGAGCTGGAGGCGGAGCTTGCGGAGCAGAGCCACCTGAGGCTGCAGGCGGCAGGAGAGAGCGAGTTCCTGAAGGCAGAGCTGGACGACCTGCGGAGGGTCCGAGAGGACACGGAGAAGGAGCAGCGGAGCCTGACGGAGATAGAGAGTAAGGCGGGACATCTGTCTCTGCAGCAGGAAGCTTCTTGGTCACATTATTATGGGTGTAAAGATATGATTCTGATAAATATATCAATCAATCATAGTAGTTTGTAATCATTAAAGCGTTCTTGCCCTCATTTCTTTTTTGTCTGACAAATCCCCACCCCTTTTGGGATCTGAATTGTTAGAGCAATGATTTACCTGCAGTTAATTATTGTGCCTGCTTATAATCTGTTAATGCCTGTCATTCCATTGTGTGTTTTTAAACAGAAAAAGCTCAGGCCAATGAGCAGCGCTACACCAAACTGAAGGAGAAGTACTCGGAGCTGGTTCAGAGTCATGCAGACCTGCTGAGGAAGGTGAGAGACAAGTCTGACTTCTTCATGTCCAATAAATCCCTCTTCAAAAAAAACCCATCCAAGTTATATTTAGTCCTGTCCTTCTGCTATGCTTTTTAAATATCCCCCAAGCTAAAAATCCAGCCTCTGTCCTGATTATTTTTGGTGTTTTTCCTCTGCGTGTCGGCATCTGTGCCCCATGTCCTTTTCTGTGTGTGTGTGTGTGTGTGTGTGTGTGTGCAGAACGCAGAGGTGACCCGGCAGATGACGGTGGCTCGGGCGGCTCAGGATGAAGTGGATGAAGTGAGGAGAGAGATGCAAGAGAAAGTGAAGGCCGCTCAGGACGTCGCAGAAAAACAGGTGTGTACGAAATGAATTTTGTTATCACTGCAAAAACACGCCCAGCCCCGTTCTCCAACTCAGCGTTTATCTGTCAAATGATTGGCTCTGGGTCCAACAGTGCTGAACCTCAGGGTGCAGGAGAACAAATAATTACCTTTTAGATTCGTTTTTTCGGGATCCACATTGCATTAAAAAGGTCCAACAAACTCCATTGTAAACTCTGTTCTCTGAAATTCCCCTTTAATAAAAGTGTATATTTGTGTCTGTGTAAAAAGTTCTTATTAAGTTTTACAAACTGAGCTGATGAGAGATTTCTAAAGTGAGATTTTTACTCTGTTTTTCAGGAGAAGGAGCAGCTGGAGCAGCTTCAGGATCTGCAGAGAGAGCTGCTTTCCAGCCGGACGGAGCTGGACTCCCTGAAGACGACCGTGGACTCAACACAACAGGTCAGATACTTACAGGTTCAGTTTTTACTTTATAGCTGTTTGCACTTTAAATCAGGGTCAACGCTATTATAAAAATGTGTTGGACGAGAAAGAACGGCCCAGCAATAAAAGATTTAGAAAGATGAAAATGATATAGGGATATCTGATGGGAAGACAAATAATAAAAAATATAACATCAAATATACAATCAGGCGTGATTGCAATGGACAAGTTGATATGATACGATAAAACTTTACTGTCAGATCAAGTCAAAACATTTTCTTGCATCACAGCAGCTCCATTTGCAACATCAACAACAACACATATTTAAGACAAGATACAAGGAAACAGACATTTAACATAAGATCACTGAAAATAAATATGCTTAAGATGCTCTAACATACATTTGATACAAAATTATTGCACAGATGTAATGAGAAGAAGGAATGAAAACATTAATAAATACAAAAAGGCACTTTATACAGTATATACCTACATATAGTATATTGTGTGTTAGTTACGAAATAACAGTATTTCACATACAGCCCAGTCCTGGCTTAACAGCAGCTTGCTCACTAGACCTCTGAAGTTGCTGTAAAATAAGTTTCTGAACTCATTTATAACAGTCCCAATTTAAAGAGATTATAGCAGCTGCTACAGGATAGGGTAAAGTAATTAAGGATGTGACATTTTTCACCATGACTAACAGACCGGGGTGATCCTAATGGAGCACAGTCTGGAGAAAATCTAAAAATGGGCTGCCTGCGTCATGCAACCTTATTATAGTCATCAATTATTTGCTTATCTAACTTTTTTACACCGTTTTGTAGCATTGTCGTAGTGTTGGTTACATCTTAGACGGACATTCCCGTATTTGTGGAAAGTCAAACTGACCTTAAAGGTCCCATGTCATGCTTTTCCGGTTATTACCCGTCCCCTTGTGTGTTATGAAGGTTTTTCTGCATGTAAACGGTCTGCAAAGTCACAAACCCTCAAAGTACACCCTGTAGCGAGTAAAACTCTAACACAGAAAAGACCTGTCTATGCTGCCCCAGAACGCCTTGTTGGAGATTTCTCTTTTTCCATTGTTTTCTTCCTGGGTACAGTGACGTGCCCATGCCCAAATGGACCCAATCCGTGGAGCCGTTATGTTACGTCCGCGGAGCCGTTACGTTACGTCTTGGATTGGTCCAAATGGACCAATCCGCGGACTTCCTCACACACACACACACAATCCTTTCTCAGCTGCAGCTCCGCCGATTTCTCCTCCCTGAGACGGCAGGACGCGGCGAGGCTGTGAGTCGGTGTGTGAGCACACACACAAACTCCCAGCCAGGCTGCGGGTGTGTGTGTGTGTTCGGGCTGGTTTCGGGCTGGGTTTCGCTGTGTCTCGCTGTCTCGCAGACGGCCACTGGGCTCATAGGGAGGGGGGGGCAGGAGCTCCAACAAGGCGTGTAGGACAGAGAGTGAATACACATACTGTACAGAGATGCTGTATGAGAAAAAATGTGATTTTGGAAAATTGCACAGTATAAATCTATTTTAGTAGACCTCAACAATGGAATTATGATCAGTAGAAATGGCCATGACATGGGACCTTTAACCAGGAACAATAAGGCAATGTTCACATTATGAAAACTACATCCTGACTACAGTTTGGAGAACAGACTGTGAATCCTGACTGTAATGTGAAAGTTGAGCTTGTATGATGCAGTATAATTATCAATACCATTTTCTCATTTTCCTAGTGTTCGCACTTCATGTCTTATAACACATCTGTCCCTCCCTTCATTTCATGTTCTTTGTCATTTGTTATGCAATATCCCCTCTTAGTCTCTGACTGTCCTTTGCACAACCAAATATCAACCACATGCAGTCTCTGACACAAGAGATATGCTAACACATTTCTCTCACATCATGGGGCAAATTGCTTAAACGGTAGTACAAAAGTTTGCTTGTCTTCCTGTTGATCCTCTCTCGGCCTGCGTTTGTCATCGTTTGTCATCTCTGCATAAAGATGATGTTTGTAACGGGCGACTGCAGGCATTTCTTTAAAAGAAGAGACCAAAATGAAAACACAGAGGCAGTCAAATCTTGTCCAAACATCTGCTTGTGTAAATGGGTCAGTATACTCATGTTAGTGTGTTTCTTTGAGCAGCTAGCTTCAATCTGAAGGCCATAAAAAGTGCCAGTTTAATAATCCATGAAGTTATGCCTTTAAACAACGTAACCCCACTGATGCTCTCGATTCCCTCTGGCCCAATTCCACATGTTTCTTTATTCCATCTCTGCCTCCCCCTCATGACGAGCTACTTTTGTAGCCACTACTTGTCCCCTCTGTCACTTTTTCTGTCCTCCTCTTTCTCCGCCTCCTCCATCTTTATAATTTCCATAGTTCTTTTTACACACAGCCCACGCTCCATCGCTCCTGTCACACTCCTCCAGCTCTCACTTGCTCCTGCCGCACAGTTTACATCCAGATTCTTAATACTGTTTCTCTTCATTTCTCAACATTTCTCCCTCTCTGTCGGACCTGCTGGGACTCAGGCTGTAAGTCTCACACTTCTTACCTTCTAAAGCACTCACCTCAGTAGTTAACAGTTTAAAGATGTTATTTTGTAAAGTACACAGGATCTGATGTAACTCCTCACTGTGTTGCCAGACTTCATGTTTGTTGCAGCCAAGTTGCATAACCACATCTTCCCGGTCTTTGTTTGATTGTAAACTTAACCTCAGCCCAAACTCCTGGAGACTGTACGCCTCTCCACAAACTGACATGAAGAACATATTGTTGTAATCAAAGTTCTGGAGATAAAGAGTGGTTTTTATTGTGAGGTCAGAACAGTCGCATTACACCACATCCTGACATGTCATGACGGCTACATATTATCCTAACCATGCCTTCCTGTGGGTTCATTGTTCCTCAAATTCACATTTCCCTTTTATCCCTCCATCTTTTATTTTGTCCACACAGTCGAGTGAAGTTCTCGGCACCGAGCTGGTCGCCCTGGAGTCTGAGAAGGCGGAGCTTGTGCAGTCTTTGTCGAAGGTGGAGGCGGAGCTAGCTGTGCAGGGGGAGGAGCTGGAGAAAGTCCAGAGCTCGCTGGCGACTGAGAGGGAGAGCGGGGTGAAGACAGCCGAAACGCTGCAGAATCAGCTCAATGAGAAGGTACCTTTTTTCTTCAATGATCTTTCCTAATTCACTTTCTGAATGAGCTGCAATAAATCATTAGATGTTGCTGTAGCAAGAACTGGACCCAGCATGTCCAATGAGCCTCTTAATTCTAACATTTGGATCTTTAGCCCAATATCAGAAAATACACATTTGTCTCAGTTGGCTTTACACACAGTATATGACACTCTCTGTCCCTAGACTCTTGCAATACACAAGGTAAAACTCCCCAAACAAAATTACTGTACGATTAATGGGTGAAAAACTACACCCCAGGGTGGGCAATAGAGGACAGGACAGACAGACATGCAATATACTGTATGTTGTGTTGCAGAATAACTTAATAAACTTACAACATAGACCATCCAAATGACAATAATTCCCCGGGCACTGTTCAATTAAATTCATTTTCAATTCAAGGCTTTATTGTCATTTGCACATTAGTTACAGTGTAGATGAAAAACTTAGGTCACAGGCTTCTCCAAAAGTGCAACATATATATAGGACCTAGAACAAATACAAGTAAATGGAATATGATCTATTATAATAGCTGCCCACTGCTCCTAGTACTAGGATGGGTTAAATGCAGAGGTCAAATGTCACTGTGTGTGCTGTTTGCATGTATGTGTGACCATTAAAGAGGGTTTCATCCTCCGATTCTATCTATCCTATCTAATGATAATGTGAACTCGTATGAACCTGAAGGATCTAGGAGAATGTCAAAAAGCTTCCAGGTGCTGCCCAAAAACAATTGATGTCACTTTCTATTAAAGGCTTTTATGTGTGTGTTTGCGTCCCCAGGAGAGCAGGGAGCAGGCGTTGGAGAGCCAGCTGGTGGCGGCGCGCTGGTCCGGCCTGCAGGGAGCTCTGGAGGAGGCAGAGAGGATCATCACGGACTCGCTGGCTCAGATCAACGACCCGGCACACATCAGCTGCACCAGCTCCGCAGGTCAGAGCTGCTGATGCTAGTTAGCACTGTGTGTAGTGTTTGTGTGCATGCCTACGTGTTGGTTTCTAAGCTCTTTGTTTTTGTTTATCTGTGCAGACTACCTAGCATCCAGATGTCAGGCCTCTTTAGTTTGTATGGACAGACTCCACTCTGCCAGAGAGGCCTTCCTGGCTGACAACACAGGTGAGAGGGTTTTTAAGGCAAGGCCAGTTTATTTGTGTCACACATTTCTCAAGTAGAGAAACATTAGATGCCCTTGGACGTCATGCAACATAATAACACTATAGAATGAAAAAACAGTCATTAATAAAATAAAAATATGGTCAACATCGAATAAGACTGGTCTAAAATACAAGAATAAAAGTACTGTGTTAGAAATAAGAGATTATTTCATTTATTAAAAGGCAGCGGCAAACAAAAAGGTGGATGTAGATTCTGTATGTATCAACATTATGAAATATAATCAGACATTTTAACTGATGCTTTAGTGCCGTTCGATAATTGTTTATCTACTCAAAATGTTCATGAATAACGTAGTTGAAACCACAGACTTTTCAAATAATTATCATTTTGAAATCCCATTATATCCACACAAGTGTTTCCAGTGATTAACTGAAGATGGGTCTTTGGGAAACTATGCAGAGAATTATGCACTATTTCAAAAAGTGAGCAGGTGCAACCTAACTGAGAAGCTAGTGAGGGAAATATCATAAAAAGCATGTCTGTGCAGATCCAACCAGAGAAGAGGTCTAATCAGTCAAAATAAGTGGAAACACCTGTGAGGAGGAAGAACCGGTGTGTGCGGGCTTTGACACCTAAATGATAAAGAAGAGTAAGAACCGCTGATAAAACAAAGGTGATGGCTGAGCTAGTGTGTAATTCAAATTTGGGAGTAATATCATAGAAGAAAATGAATTGAAGCGAGAGGGCAGGAAGCATAAATATATAGTTTTTAGTATTTGTTAATAATGGGAATCCAGAAAGTCTAAAAAAAATCCACTTGTTTCCTCTAGGTGTATCTGAGCTGGTTCGAGTGGTGACCCAGTGTGGCCACCTGGTGGGAGACACCATCGTTCAGGGCAGCGCCACCTCCCACATGGTGCCTGTGGAGCAAGCTGATGGTGGGTGTGTGTGTGTGTGTGTGTGTGTGTGTGTGTGTGTGTGTGTGTGTGTGTGTGTGTGTGTGTGTGTGTGTGTGTGTGTGTGTGTGTGTGTGTGGTGTGTGTGTGTGTGTGTGTGTGTGTGTGTGTGTGTGTGTGTGTGTGTGTGTGTGTGTGTGTGTGTGTGTGTGTGTGTGTGTGTGGTGTGTGTGTGTGTGTGTGTGTGTGTGTGTGTGTGTGTGTGTGTGTGTGTGTGTGTGTGTGTGTGTGTGTGTGTGTGTGTGTGTGTGTGTGTGTGTGTGTGTGTGTGTGTGTGTGTGTGTGTGTGGTGTGTGTGTGTGTGTGTGTGTGTGTGTGTGTGGTGTGTGTGTGTGTGTGTGTGTGTGTGTGTGTGTGGGTGTGTGTGTGTGTGTGTGTGATATTAATCTGTGGGTAACTCAGTTTCTGAAACATGTTGTGACATGTCATTAGGTAATTTATATCTCCTCATGTGTTATACGTGTACTATAAGGTTTGGCATTTTAAGCCAAAACTGTCGTCTCTATCTCTGCTGTTCGTGTTAGTGTTTTAGATCTTGTTTTAGTGTTTATATCTCAATGTCCTGCGGTTAGTAAACTCGGTTTTTTTCAGCCAAAACATGCGCGATTAAAATAAAGTATCTGACTTCCTTCAGTGTGATGTTTTGCAGGGTTTTGCTCCCCTGGGAGATGTGAGCAGCCTGGGCCAGTCTAAGCATGCCTAAATATAATGGAGCTCTGGCCTGCAGTCCTTTCACTACAATCAAGTTTCATAACATAGAATCCAAACTGGATCGAACTGAAGCGACAATTGAATGCTGACCCTATGTTTGATCCATAAACCGTATATAACAGTAGGTTTTACTTTGTCGAAACATTTGAATGCAGCATTCAAAAGCTTTTCTTCAATCTGATCACATTAGTTGTCTGTCCTGCAGCTATAAAAACAGGCGGGCAGCTGCTGTCGTTTTGGTTTCCCCTCTTCCTCCTATCAGATCATAGCGGCTGTTTCAGCTGTTAGGTGACACTTTGCCTGAGGGGATGTCATCAGTATAATTAACACTGCAGCTGCAGCCACTAGTGGCGCTGATGCATATCAGAGTTAACAGAAGAAATGATATGGTCATTCAACAGACAATTAAGTGTGAATGATTTTGCAGCATCACATTTGTTAGCTTTAACTCTTGTAAGTGTATCTATATTTAATATTATCAGGGATTTATTGGTGCTTTCCTTTGTGTATATGTTTTACACACTTTAATGCCCTGTGTGTCCTTGTCTCAGCCCTGTCAGAGAGTGTGAAGTTGTGCGGCGCTGAAGCTCTGGACCTGCTGGGCCTGATGAAGCAGAGGGACAGCCTGACGGCAGCAGACAGCAGCAGGCTGAAGGCCGCTCTGGAGGCCATCCTGGCCACTGCAGAGGTCCATACTCGCTACTATACTATACACATACAACATTTGCATTCCCTAATCATAAAATGTGTCAAAGTATCCCCAGAGTTGCTGTATTATGAGAACAGTGATTAGCTTAAAAGGAGCCTTTCTTATTTTTAACCTGGATTTTTGTGCCTTAAATGACTAATGGGAGCAAGTATTTAAAAAATGGGTCCAGTATTGAGCACTGCAGCCGTCTGCTGCAAACCGGGCTGCAATGAAATCCATCAGGAGAATTATAATTAAAATGTAAAGTGCCTTTTTTGTTGCCACTGATTGGCCAGGATTGATGATATTATGCATTGGCAGTATGCATGATCCAGTCGGTTACACAAAGTCTCAATCTGTTAAAGTTTTAAAGCGACGTGGTGGTGTTTGCAATGTAGATTAGTGTGATCTACAGTAAGACTCTTTAATGTCATTAAATACATATTTCGCTGATTTTGACAATGGGAAAGATTACCATTTTTGAGCAGATTTGCCCCACTGTGATACATTACATCGCTCAAAACTGGATCAATATGTTATCATCCCACCTTTCACAGAATCTAGCCAGGGAGAAAGTGTAGATAATTTTTTTACTGACATCAGTATCTCTTCATGTGTCTTTGTTCAGAAACTGCGTCCTCGGGGGTTGGAGCTGCAGCAGGGGGAGCTGGGAGATATGGTGGAGCAGGAAATGTCTGCCACCTCCGCTGCTGTGGAGTCTGCTGCTGCCAGGATAGAGGTGTGTGAAGAGTGTGTGTAAAGTGTGTGTTAAGCTGTGGTCATCTGGTGGGAGATGTGTTTGTAAATGCACTTGCTATTAGCTGTGTATGTGTGTGTTTCTGTAAAGCTCTTTGCAAGCTGTGTAAAAAACATAGCCCCTGGGTTTAACTTTCCAACAGTATTAACTTAAAAGTGGGTTTTTTTGTCTCTCCTTTGCCTCCAAACAGGAAATGCTCAACAAGTCTCGAGCAAGTGATACGGGAATCCACATGGAAGTCAATGAGAGGTAAAGCACAGATACAAAATAAGATGCATTTGAACAATCACAATAATGATATCAAAAATACGTTTTAACGTTAATTAAAGAAGTACTTAAAGTGGACCTATCATGCTATATTTGAATAATATATTGTAGGGCCATACCTATATAAGGTATATTTATACGTTTTCTTTTTCAAAATATCAAACAGATCATGCATTTTAGCCATGCCTCATTTCGCTCTATTTTGCTCTCCTCCACCCTGTCTTTGCATGCGCTGCAGCTGACCACGCCCCCCTGCAAAGGAGGGGGCCGAGTTACGAGCGTCATGTTACCATGCTGTTACCATGCCACGGCAACCTCTCATTCCCCTGATAGTTGGAGAGTTGGCCATATAGGCGGAGCTCCTCTGTCCTGACGTCAGAGAAATGTTCAAATCTGGATCAGTTTTGATCAGATCCGTTGCAGCCCCGTTTTTAGAGATTTGGGTATGGAGGAAAAGAGAGAGGGTTGTGTTTTCTGACACTTGGTGAGTTCCCTGGAACACCGGGGACACATATTCATGTATAAAAGACGTACAAAAGTGCATTTTGCATGATAGGTCCCCTTTAAAGAGTCTCAAACTCATCTCAATCTCATTAGGCTTTACAGTAACATCACATTTGACTGAATTGTGCTTCAGTTGACCCTCAAACTGATTTCTTTATGACTTTATCTTAGTTAGTACTAAGATTAAAGAAGGATCCATAACTTAACCATACACTTGCAAATCAACAACCGCTGATAGTTCAGTTTGAAGACTAATGGAGTTGCTCAAAGATAGGAGGAGGAACCAAGTCATCTGTTATTGAGCCAGGCCTCTAATGTTTGTTTGTGAAAGAGCTGACCACAAGATGTAATGGATTCCAACGAAGGCAATGATCTGCAGAGAGGAAACAGAGATGCTTTTTTTTTTTTAAAAGGCAGCACAACAGTCACATGATATTTCAGACGGTCACACACTGAGGAGAGACGTGCAGAGAATTGTATCAGTTCAGCCACTCAGCCTATGCAAACTGTGAAGTCTGAGCACATCATGTTGTTCTGCAGTTCTTCATCCAAGCAAGCCTGCAATGAGTTTCTTTAGTGGGTATTCTGTAGTTGTAATGCTGGTCATGTCAGTTATGTTTATCTGGAGCTGCAAACATGTCTTATCGTTAGGTGTCTTACACCATATGGGTTATTTATAAGGTTCGACCTCCAGGAAGTTCACAAATCTTTTGATAACATATTTGATAAGCAGCTGATCTAAACTTCACTGCTGTATTGATGTTGCTGCATGCATCTTCTCTAAATCATACGAAGCTAGAGAAGTATCAGTTCATTTGTAGGGTTTAGATGTTAATCCAATCTGTGTACTAATGCTCTTTGTGTCTAAATTAAGCCAATTCGATTTCCTGTGCTCCTCTGTTCTCTCCGACTTGATAATTAAGGGGTATTTTTCCAAGTAACTGCAGCACCAGTGAGAGACATTTAGAAACAAAACAAACAATTATTGCAGCTACAAACACTAGAATATAAGACTTACTTAACTGCTACTTCCAAATAGTGAAGAAGCTTATTTCTTTCTGTTTTATGCTGCATATTTAAAATGTTTCAGGATGGTTGAAATACAGATGCTAGCAGCTGTAGATTTCCAGTGACAGTGTTTGTCCTCTGCTCTGTCGCCCTCTGCAGGATTTTGGCGTCCTGCACGGAGCTGATGCAGGCGATCAAGCAGCTCGTTGTCTCTTCCAAAAATCTGCAAAGGGACATCGTGGAAAGCGGCAGGGTGAGTTACACTGCAGGTTCTTCTTCTGTGTGTTAACCATAGACTGTAAAATACAGCTTTTATTTAAAAAAAATTAACAAGATCTTCAGCATCATTTCACTAGTTCCAACATCTACTTTCTCCTTACTAGCTGATATAAGTATTTGCAGCTGTGCAGTCTTTTAATCCTGATGGGTAGACTATATATTCAAATATGCAAAGTTTGGAGGAAATGAGGTCGGTTTTATGTAAATATGTGGTTCAAGAAATGTGTGATTTTGCCTTTTTTACTATGATAAAATAACTTGTTACCAATAATTGTTTGTATTAAAACTTCTTACAGTATAATGCAGTCTCTTCACACACTCCCAACATATTTGAAAGTGCATTTATTGCAGCGTGTAGTATTTGATTGCACTATGTTGCACAGATCTTCATCATACTGTGTCCAGACTAGAGCTGTAACCATAAGTCAAGAGATTACCTTTTCCTCGTATCACATTAGAGTAAATTAAATTGGTACAGTTTTGGACTTTTAATAGTCAATACAAATATATCGTCTTGGACTCTGGTTAGTTGTGATTTTGGAGCATTTTTCACAATTTTTTGACAGGTTATAGATTAAACAATTAAAAGCAACAAAACAATTGTTATATTAATAGATATTTTAAAGAAGCATAAGTTGAACTCTTGCCCAAGAGTTTAGGAAGTGTGTCATGATGAGACATGTTTTATAACATTTCTTTATATATCTCTTTTGTCCACCAGGGGGCAGCCTCCATGAAGGAATTTTATGCCAAGAACTCCCGCTGGACTGAGGGCCTGATCTCTGCCTCCAAAGCAGTGGGATGGGGCGCCACTGTCATGGTGTAAGTATCACTCGTCCCCTCTGAGTTACTCCAACTCACTGCAGAGGATAACAGTGTTTTAAGTCTTATTGTCCTACAGAATTACGAGGAAATAAATAACAGACAAACAAAGCAGTAAATCAGGCCTTAATTAGCATGGAGGGTCAATCATAAATCAGGCGTTTCTCACTGTGTTGTGATCAAAGTGGTCCTCACCTCATCATTGTGTTGTTCCAGAGATGCTGCTGATCTGGTGGTGCAGGGCAAAGGGAAGTTTGAGGAGCTGATGGTGTGTTCACATGAAATAGCTGCCAGCACAGCACAGCTAGTGGCTGCATCCAAGGTGAGCAAAGAGTACATCATTTTCGTTCTCTTGGGGGGAGGCATTGTCTAAATTGTGTGGTATTTGCTATGCTAATGGAGTTAAAGTAAGTCATTTCTTAGCACTGATTCCATGCTGTAGATGTCATGTCTATTGTCTTTTTCCTGTAGGTGAAAGCAGACAAAGACAGCGCTAACCTGCAGCGCCTTCAGCAGGCGTCCCGCGGCGTCACACAGGCGACTGCAGCCGTCGTGGCCTCCACCAAGTCTGGGAAGTCCCAGATCGAAGAGAAAGGTGAGACAAGCACATTAAGTTAGATCATTTAGTTAACAGTGTCATTGATTTAATTTGTATGTTTGAGGTTTTTTTTTTATCATAAGACAAAATGTCCAGTTCGTTTCTTATTATTTTCTTAGTTAAAAGGAAGAAAAACGTAGTAGTTCTTGAAAATAATCATGAATTGTTTTTGTTGCTCAGATACGATGGACTTCTCCAGCATGACTCTCACACAGATCAAAAGACAAGAGATGGATGCGCAGGTAAGAATCAAAATACAGCAAACATATAACCATTTCAATAAGCCACATAGTTTCAAACGTGTTTAAAATTAAGTAGAGAAGCAAAACTATTTAGGAAAGAGTTATTTAAAGGTCCCATGTCATGGCCATTTCTACTGATCATAATTCCATTGTTGAGGTCTACTAGAATAGATTTACATTGTTCAATCTTCCAAACTCACATTGGTTTCTCATACAGCATCTCTGTATAGTATGTGTATTCACTCTCTGTCCTAAACGGCTTGTTGGAGCTCCTGCCCCCCCCTCCCTATGAGCCAACTGTGCTCTGATTGGTCAGCTTGCCCACTCTGATGAGTCCACCACCGTTACAGCGGAACATCAGTGATTATGTGTTACAATGGCGTTAGCAACCAGAAAATGACACCAGTAATGACAAACAGATGAGAATGCTGCGTGGGGTCTGGGTGCCGTGTTGGCGGGACTTTGCGGGGCTCGCTGCTGCGGACAGTGTAAGCTGGATTACTGGGGTCGTTTCCTGGTTGCTGCGTGGGGTCTGCGAGACACTGCGAAACTCACCTGAACTCAGCCTGAGCACACACACACACTCACAGCCTGGCTGTCTCAGGCTGAGTTCAGGCTGAGAAATCCGCGGAGCCGCAGCTGAGAAAAGATAAGGCTGAGTGAGTGTGTGTGTGTGAGGAGCTCCACGGATTGTTCCATTTGGACCTGGGCATGGTTACGTCACCATACTCAGGAAGAAAACAATGGAAAAAGAGAAATCTCCAACGAGGCGTTCTGGGGCAGCATAGACAGGTCTTTTCTGTGTTAGAGTTGTACTCGCTACAGGGTGTACTTTGAGGGTTTGTGACTCTGCAGACCGTTTACATGCAGAAAAAGCTACATAACACACAAGGGGACGGGTAATAACTGGAAAAGCATAACATGGGACCTTTAATACTTTATTGGGGCTAATAAAGTTTCCACTCTGTAGATGTATTGTTCTTTGTCCATTGAGAAGTCGCATGTCAGACCCGTGTGAACACTTCTCTCTGTGCTTTGGCTCTGCTGCGCCCGACACTGAAAGAAAAACACAGAAAGGTCTGGACCTGCTCACACACACGGTCCATTGTTGTAAATGCACAGAGTGCCTCTATTTGAAGTCAATTTAATGAAGTCCTAATGTAGAACCACACAACTTTTCAACGTTTCCCTCCCTAGCATTTCCAAGTAGAATTATCCTTTCTGTCTCAAAGGGAACCGGATCGCTTTTTGGTTTATTTCAGAGCCTAGCAACCACCCACAACACAGGATGCAAACTGCATCTTATTTTCCATAGTTGCTTTAATTGTCTTATTGTCCTCCATTTCCACTACTGGGAATAGTTACTGTAAAGTAATTACATGACATTCTTTGGTAACTGAAGATAGCTAATGATGGCTACCAGGAAAACAAATGAGCTATCCTCTTCCTGTTTTGATTGAGCATTAGTTGACGCACCTCCTCTGTGCCGTTAGTCGAGACTTCATTTTCCCTGGAAAGCAAGGCTTGTCGGGAACCAATCTCAACTCTCATTGTGTTATTGTTCTATAGACAATCTTGTATATTCAAATAAATCCTAACATGTGCAAATGCTGATTGTTTAGAAAGCATTCACAGACATAGGGAAATTGGAGAAGATAATAATTTTTTCCTTTGCCTTGAAATAGTTTGTATGTGTCTTAAATGCCAGTGCCAGACACATTTCAATCTGATGGACATTAAAGTAATCTGAATTATTAACTGTATATTAAAGTGGCCTCCTAAAACGGCCAGTTGATCATAGGGAAAATTATAAAAATATAGTATTTTCATCAAGAATCCTGCATGATTCCCCCACATAAAGCACTATTTGTTCCCACGTAGCCTGTTCTTCATCCATCTATTTTCTGTATGTCACTGTTTAAGATTTGAGGCTTTCTGTGGTTTGTGAGGCGAAGTAAACGGCTTCAGGGAGATGATAAGTGTGTGTCTTGTTTCCTCAGGTTCTGGTTCTGGAGCTGGAGACCCGTCTGCAGAAGGAGCGCGAGCGACTCGGCGAGCTGAGGAAGAAACATTACGAGCTGGCGGGGGTAGCAGAGGGCTGGGGCGATGGAGAGGAAGGTGAGGACAGAGGACAACTACAGTGCTATGAATATACCCTAAAAAAATAAAAACAACTCAAATGCGTTTTTCTGCTTCTTCTCCACAGTGACAGGTTGAGACCAGGATCGTCTCCCTCCTCCACCAGAAGACCGACTTCTGCCTGCCTCTTTCTATTTATACACCCTTCACTCTCTTTCTTCCTTGTTTTATTCTCTCGTTTTTTGTTTGTTTATCTCCAAGCCAAATTAAAAGGTGCTTCTTTTTTCTAAACCTACTTCTCCACCCATGTCCAAAAGCTTCCATAAGGGACGGAACCAAGGGTGCAGCGACGGGCGGTGTCAAAGGGACGAACAAGAGGATGTTACTGTTGCCTCTCCCCCAGGACTGTGTTGGTGCAAAGCGTTGGAAGTGAAGTGGATCCCAGTATTTATTGTCTTTTTCTTCGCCGGTTCTAAATAACGGCGTTCCAACAAAAGGAGGAGAAGCTACGAGCACAAGTTCCCACTCAAGACATCCCAGGATGCTCTGCACAACCTTTCAGCAGTGAGAGTGGACATCAGTGACTGTTCTTTATCTTCCTCCCGAGTGTCTTCCTATTCTTTTCACACTGTGAGTTATCACCGTATTAAGTCCATACCACTTCGCTGGCTGGTTTACTGGACTTTCTGCCTTTCACCTCTCCACCATTGTAACGACCGTGACTGTTTACCCGAGCAGTCCACTGTTTTTTTATTCTTCTTTTAACAGACGCTTGCATGGAAACTCTTAAAAAAAATGCTCTAAACTGGGAAAGGTTTCAGAAATGGAAAACATATTTTTCTTCTTTTCCTTATGAGCGCTGAGACTGCCAACAAACCTCTTCAGCGTCAGAGGTGTAACAATGAGAGAATCTGTCAAACACTAAAAACAATGGGGTCGTTTTTTTCATTTCCCATTTTTTACCGGTTCGAGTGGATAGTGAGAGGAAAAACCCATTTTTATATATAGAGATAGTCTGGCAGCAAAAGCAAACAATGTATTATACAGTTTAAGATCCATATTGGTGCATATTTTTACAAATATCCTCGATGAAACAGTGAATTTGCTCCTGTGGGTATTGTCCACAGTACATGACCGTTACATGTATGATATGTGTGTAATGTGTATTTGTAAAGCGCTTTGAGCATCTGGAAAAAGCGCTATAATAAATGTAAGGAATTATTATTATTATTATTATTATTATTATTATAAGAAATCAGTCACAGAAGCAGCAGCTCTGGAGGGGGTTTTCTGACAGTTTGCTAACCAAGACGTTCGCTTGGTTACATCCTTGGACATTGCAGTCGAGCGAGCGTTCTCCCAGAGAGGATGTTAAACCGAGAGAGGAAATCAGCAGGAGCCCCAAAAGGAAATCCTCAGAAGTTGGATTGATGAACTTGAATGTTTTGGGACAGTACAGGCTGCACAAATGGATGAAATGTTTTATCCGGCTAATCACATGATCATGCCTCTTCACATGCCCTGCAGGACTGATGGTTAACTGCAGTTTTCAACGATCCTTTATTATCTAACTGTCACAATGGACTCTAAATGTGTGCGGCACAGTGACTGCAGTGTTTTCAATCGCCTCCTAATGACCAAGTAGCTGTGTGTATATAAACTACAGGCCTTCTATGGTTGGGAATAATCTTTTGCTTACCTTCAATCTAAAAGCATTACTGTTTTGCATCGCTCCAAGTAAGGATTCAGTTTAATTGAATTAAGGATACAAAGATGGTGCACACGAAGGCCACCGGAGAGAGAGAGAGAGAGAGAGAGAGAGGTTGTTATTTCCAGAGACTGATGGACTGAATGGACTGAGATCATGCCTTTGTGTAAACCATGAGATGAGTTGGCATCTGTTATTTTAACCTTATTTTCTTTGTTTTGTTTAATGACAGCCATGATGATTCTCTTGGAGTATGTCTCTGTGTGTCTTAACTTACTTTGTTACGGCACTCTGCTTCAGCTGTCTAACTTAAAAAAACATTTAAAAGTTACTTGCAGTAGCAGATTAATGAATCAGAAGTGTTTTATTAGCCAACTTTATTTTGTTCCCCCATTAGATAATACTACTTCTCCAAGCAGGTTAAAACAAACAAGTGTTATTGGCGGTACTCCTGGGTTCACATCTATTTAATAATGATTTTAAATGTTTTTTTGTCACTTCGTCCACACCTGGTTAGCTGATTTTGTAAAAATTTGGAATACAAAACAAAAAAGATACCATTTAAAAGGGGGGGATCACTTTCTTTACAGTATTTAAAGTGTATCAAAAGGGGAATTGAACGCACCTAAAGTGATGTTTGGTTGTGTTTTGGCCCAGATATTGGTTGCTAACCTCTCTGTCTCCTCTCTGGTGTCTGTAGTCCTCCAGCTCAGCCAGCCTTTCAAACTGCCTCACACTGTAGTCAAAGAGAAACAAATACTCACATAGCAACATTGAAATATGTCTTTGTATGATATACTAAAACTATGTTGGTGGGTTTGTTTTTATTTTTTCAGTTTTTAAAATAAATATTTCAACTCGTTAATACAGAACCAGATGTGACTGTGGTTTTTGTGATCTTAAAGCGGCTGAGATACTGAAACGAGATATTTGTACAGAATGCAGCTAGCAGAGAAACAGTTGCGCCCTTTTCCCCTGTGTTTACTGTTTATCCTCTACACTGTGTTATTCTTGGATGTTACATAATCGCTGATTGATAAATTGCTCCAGCCATTGTTTTATTAATCCTCTTACCTGCTGATGCAACATTCAGGGAACAACCTTGAGGAAATCCAAGAAAATGAAAACACATTTTAGTTTATTCATGATAGGAGATAATATGTAAGTTATGTTTAATAAAAATATTTTTTTAATGCAGATACAATAAGGGTTTGTGTGAGCACTAGAAGTGGCTCCACTCTATAATAACCTTGCATCTACATCAAAGCTACAATCCTAATGCACTTTTATGGGAGGTTAAGACTCTTTTCCAGTAAAAGCATTGACAATTTTAAGTGCTTTGTTGGCATTCAATTTAAAGTACAATATTGTCAAATAAGAGAAAAACTGAACGTTATAGAAAGTGTGTGGATGCTACAACTCTAACTTGCCTGCTCTTTCCACAGTAGAAATAAATGAAGACTCGAAATAGCCCACACACACTGATATGTTTATTGAGTAAATGAAGCAATGTAATCTAAAACCACTGTGCTGAGATTACAGAAATCCCTAATCTGGGTTCCCAGGATCGACTGCATCTTCTGATAAGAGTCTTATCTTCTTGTTTCTGCAGCGCAAAAGACTCCCACTGAGACACTGGCTGAACTATTTTTGAATAGTGGGTTGTTTGCACAGAAATTCAATATTTATTTAGTTCCAGAACATTGTATTGATTCTGGATGTTATTAACTCTTCTGCCTTTAGAAACGTCGCTCTGGTGCATAATAATATAACATTAATTTGACTTTCACCTTAATCTTTAAACCAACTGCAGTCCTAATAAACCAAATATTCATTATTTGAATCCCTTCAAAAGCCACTTTGTTTACATAAAGCAATTGATTTTAAGCGGGACAATTACCTAATTTAAAATGTTTTTGTATACTAAAACGCAAGTTTAACAAAAAAATCCAAATGTTGTCATTGATTACCAAGAACACAATTTAGAAGCCGAAAATAATTAAATGAATGAAACAAGACTTCTTCAATTAAAATAAATACAATGACTTTATACTCATGGCAGAAGGTATAGCAAACTGCAAAGTCAATTAAATAAGTAAATTAGCAGATATATTCAAGATACAAAAAAAACAAATGGCTGACTGAGATTCATGTTTCTGTGTATGGAGCCTTGAATCAGACAAGTAAACCATAACTGAATTTATCTTTTATTAATACTAATTATTTATTAATTAAATAAAAAAATATATGAATAAACATAAAGATTAATACTCCTCTTTAAAGCTTTTATCCGTTCTTGGAAATTAACATTTATTTCTTCCTTTATCACTGATCTGATGAGTTAATGAAATTGAAACTTATTTCAACTCTTTAAATTTAATAATTTATCTTTTCCAATTTCCTATTTATTTTTACTGTCTATTTTTATCAATGACCTACCTAAATTAATCAGTGTATTTGGTTGTATGTATTTATATATGTCTGATTACATTTTATCAGGGGTTGCATGAGGTGTTTATCCTTGAAACTGACATTTTGCTGAGAAAATGTAAATGCAGGGTCAAACTCAACAGACAAAATACAGTATACAAATATAATTTAAATTGTGTTTTTCATTAAAACTTAACATCATGTTTTTCTTGGACTTCCTGGTCTTATAAGGAATACGTGTTGTTGTTTTGCTAGCTGAAATGACACTAGACAAAGAGCAAAAATACTGGCCTAAATCTCTAGAGACCCGGTTATCCCCCTTCTCTAATTGTTTATATTTCTGACAGTTTCTTAGTTTCCCTCCATGTCCACATTCAGCAGTGAGCATGCTGCCTCTGCTCTCTTAAATGGAGTACAGTGTGCAGTGGTGTTGTTTTTCTCTGTGCTGCTGTTTTGCCACATGGGCTAATGTGGTGGGTGGTGCCTGTGGAAGACTGAGCTGAGCTATTTATAGTCTCTGCAGTCCTGAGCTGCCTTACAGCAGGTCTCCTGGCAGCAGCACAGTGTTTGTCTCCCCTCTGCTCTCCAACACTCTCAGGGACCAACCACTCTCACTCTGTACAGTATATCTGCCTTAAATCAGCAGGTACACTGACAGGTAAAGGGCGATTTTAGGTCACTTCAATGGAAACTGCAGAGGAGGTACATTATGAACCTTTGTGAGAAACAGCTGATCTGTTCGTTCCTGCTGAAACAGCATGTACTGTGGAAAGCTGCTGTAATAATGTGTCAAATGGGTGATCCATAACAGAACTCATGAGAAAGAAATATATATAAATATCTGACATGATGTCTTTTCTTTTTCTTTTTGTATTATTGTCTTTATAATTTGTATCTGTGTGTATAAGTCCCTCTGTGAGGGCAACAACAACAACAAAAAATAAAAAATAATATCTGACATGATCTCAACGGAAAATCTAAAAGAAGGGCAACAGGAAACAACCCTTGAAGATATGTTTGTTTTTCTCTTTTTTCTTTAAATATCTCTGTGACAGTTCATGTGTTTGGATTAAGTTGGACTTTGATCCCAATGGAATCATCTGAATTGTAAAAAGAAACATTCTACTAATACACAATTAGACCGGACGCCTTCTGCTCTACAGAATGAATGTGTTAAGACATTGTTGTCAGCATGTTTTTTTTAAATGAATTGATAACAGTTTGTTTTTAATAAAATAAAGAAACACGATCTTTCTGCACAGTGAAACTCAAATATCTATGAATAGAATAAGCAAAACATATTTTTGAGTGGGTGGAGTGTAACCTTGAGGACGGTTGTTATTCCTTGTTTGTTGGACTACAGGAAATATGTTCTGTATCCTTAATGTATCCCAGGTGTGCACAAGCTTTGCTTTTACCAGAGCTTCCTCACAAAAACCACAACTTCCTCAACAAAAGCAGCATCTGTCCTTACTGCTTTTTAGGAATAAGGCTGCACCAGAAATAAAAAAAAATAAAAACATGATCAAGTCGTCAAAATGTGACCTATATTTCTGTTCACACTTCATATTTAATTTGGTGACTTTCCATAAGTCACCTGGTGGATCCGGAGCCCAGCTGCAGAGGAATCCACCTGAAAGGAACAACGTGAGTATTGTAAAGGTGTCTGAATGCCCTTACTGTTTATGGAAGGGTTTATCTGAATAGGAGTGTCATCACTCAGGCCGCCCTCACTGACGGCCTTTGAAAGCATTGTTTTGTGCTTGCCTTGCACATTGCTCTCCAGCTAGGCCTCGGCCCGCTTTGAGTGCCTGATACAGATATGAGGTCACGGGATGAGGCAAAAAAAAAAAGCCTTCCCCTCTCCACTGAGGCCTGTGGGTCCTTCTTCTCCCCGGGTAAACAAACAAGCAGCCGGCACTCTGCTTCCCTGAGGGGCCAATGATTCCTCTTTTAGAAGAAGGGAAAGCCACAAAGGCAGCGTTTTAGATACTGCTGCAGACAACAATGTGCGCTTTATATAAATAATCAATATCTGATACCACTTATGTTTATAACAGGAGCTTGTAGGAAGCAGAAACAAAAAGTTATATAGTGCGCTCATGAAGCAGCTCTTTGTGCTACAAGTCAACAGACTAAAGGGAATGATCAAGCATTTGTGTTGTCGGTGTAATGCAGCTGGAAAACTAAATTAAAGCAATTAATCAGGGGCAGCGGCATCACAACATGGCATGTGGCTGCCATTTGTATCGTGTGTTTTCCCTCAGCAACACTGAAGTGTCGCAGTGGTAGTTCTGTGTTTGTCTGTGCATGATGGATGAACACTCTGGGAGCCATTAGAAACTTTACAGAGGCTGTGTGAGCGAGCTCCTGAGCTTCTATATTAGTGAGGACCAAAATGTGCTACACCAATACAAAATGTTGTCAGAAACTGTTTAAAGAAAAGGGTTATGCTACTTCCTGAGTAGATATGAAGCTGGAGCAAGCAGACGGTTAGCTTAGAACAAAGACTGGAAACAGGGGGAAACTGCTAGCCTGGTTTGTCTAAAGGTGAGAAAACCTTCCTTCCAGCATCTGTAAAGTTCACGAAAACTCAGGTAAAAGGTTTAATTTGCCAGCTACAAGGCGACATAATATTAAGAACACAGGAAGTGACTGGCCGAAAAAGAAGTATGGCACACCACTGGGCCATATTGTACAGATTTAGCTTTAAAATATTAGGTGGTAAAAAGTGAGCTTTAAGGCTGCATGCTGGTGGAACTTGTTTCATTGACAGTACACATGCGATTTTTGATCTTCTCTTAACCTAACTTGCCCTTTAAGATTTGTCCTTGGGTTCACGTTTATTAAAATGAAAACTCAATTGAAAGGAGGAATTAAAAATAAAATACAATATGTGCAACCCTAGCATCCACTTGTCTTATTGCAATAATTTAAAGTGAACTTTTGTACAAAGGCATTTGTACAAAGGCATTTGCTTGATTAACTGCAAAAACTAGCATTGTTTTCCTGTTTATTCCTTTTTCCTTTTTTCTGTGCTTTCATCTGCTAAAGCTCCCATTAACTACCCTGTGTGAAGAAAAACAAAACAGGAACGAATGAAGTGGATTATAGCTATATTTAGGTCCTCATATATGCAGATACAACTGTGTGTCTGTGTCGGTGTGTGTGTGTGTCTGCATGAAATCACAAGAGCCAATGCCATGTAAGGATAAAAGTCCTTATTTGCCCTCCTCTCTTTGAAAATAACTGTGTGTGTGTGTGTGTGTGTGTGTGTGTGTGTGTGTGTGTGTGTGTGTGTGTGTGTGGTGTGTGTGTGTGTGTGTGTGTGTGTGTGTGTGTGTGTGTGTGTGTGTGTGTGTGTGTGTGTGTGTGTGTGTGTGTGTGTGTGTGTGTGTGTGTGTGTGTGTGTCTGGGTAGAGCAGACTCCAGCAGGACTGAATCTACAGCAGTGCCTGTCTCTACATGCAGACCAGATGTCTGTAAAGATCCCTCCTTGGATGGGTAATAAAATACCTTAACATATATTTAGCAGCTACAAATACCATAAATGTTTGCTCTAAACTCTACATGACCCAGATGACATTTCTCCCAGCAGTCACAACATATGTGAATATCTGCAAAAAGAATCTAGGTCACATAGGGTTACAGAACACATTGGCTGTGCTTTGCCTATTTTGCACATCAAATGTAATCATTACACATGTATAGTAATCCAGACAGTCAGAGCTGCCCTACTTTGGCACCGGAGACACAGACGTAAACATAGACATCAGCACAGAGGGGCGGTCAGGTCATTTTAAAGAGACACAGGAGGGTGGGGGGGGCATGCATGGCAGACCCAGACAGTGCATGGCACCAACTAACTCCACCGCTCTGCTTTGGGAAAATAACGAGGGTGAGACGGGGGTTGCTAGGAGACCTTACCCAAAGCAAATAAAGCCCCATCTGCTGCAGCGAGATTTGGGGTGGGTTAGCCAAGTCGGACAGAGGTAGGGAAATCAGCCCAGGAGGATCATTGGAAACGAGCTGAGACAGGGGAGGAGAGAGAGCGGAGGGAGGGAGGGATAAAGGGTGATAATGAGACATGAAAGGGAAAAAATGAAATCAAGATATGAGAGTGAAGGGGAGTAGGAATTTAGAGGAGGGATGGGAGAAAAGTAAGCATGACGGGAAGCTTGATTAATGAATGACTAAAAAGTCTGACTCCCACTCATAACCCTCCTCAGGCACACACACTTACACACACATCTTCAAATCCATCTTCACAAAATCACCATGAACACATCACTCTCTGTATTAGATTGCTTTCATCTACTCTACTACTAATCACACCATTTATAACAAACGCTGGTGGCGGCAGAACCAAGTTGCTGCTGATGTTGATTTTTCCAAGTCCCCCATTAGTAACAGACGATGCCCTTGTTACCATGGGGACAACAAAATGAGATATCACAGTTGAGTTGCAGCAGGCTTTGTGCCCACGTTATATGATGACACCTGGTCAATTCACACAAACATCCACCTCATATTTAGTGTGAATGGCTCACTCCTCTCCTCTTTGCTGTTGCCATTAGTGTGCAGAGGCTGTAGGAGTTATCTTCAGTCACAGAGAAGTATGCAAAGATACAACTGAGTCTCTCAAAGGGATTCTTCATTTTTAAATCAGGACAGAACTGTTGAATGTGACATTCATTTCATGTCGGATGAAACATTTAAATCATAAGCAATAAAAAAAACACTTTCAAGTCAATATACTTGGCTTTGATGCTACAGCTCTTCTCGTAGGTTCATCTAATTTGATGCTCCAACATCTCACCGAAAAAGTTTGCAATGCCACATCTAAAATTAAGAAATGACTAAATCTTTAGTTTTGATAAAGAACGAAAGTAACACCAGATAAGAATCCTGGCCACTAGCCTGGCTTAGCAGTATAATTCATTTCTGCAGCCTCTGAGTCCAGAGGTATTTATGATTTAATGTGTGATCTTTTAATCACATATTTAAATGTAAATGTATTTAACTGACTAATTAGTGCATTTTCCCTGTTTCCTTAAGATGGACGAGACATACACTGCAGTATGGTTTTCCTAAAGATGTTATGTAAACATTATTAATTGCTCTAAAAATGAAAAGAATAACGTTATATATTTATATTTTATAACAGTCACACATTTTGGCACAAGTGGTTAAGCGTTAAGAAGATACAGCCTTGCTTGGGAAATAATGATATGGCCAACAGGACTTTCATGACTTGAATTTAAATTCATAACAAAAAGCCTGAGCCTTTTGAGTGATTGGCCAAACTTAATTAAAGTGGACCTATCATGCTATATTTGAATAATATAGTGTAGGACCATACCTATATAAGGCATATTTATACTTTTTTTTTCAAAATACCAAACAGATCATACATTTTAGCCATGCCTCATTTCGCTCAATTTGAAAAATGTTAGCTCTGTTTTTGCAAAGGCAGATTCAGTGAGAACAGCACCACCTACAGGCCTGGCATATGTACTACAGCGTCTCCAGCGCTTTCGAACGGCAATGGCCGTGGCTGTCTCCTCCTGATTGGTGGAGTTGGCCCAATAGCCGTAGCGCCACTGTCCTGACGTCAGGACAGTGTTCAAATCTGGATCAGTTTTTATCAGATCCGTTGCAGCCCCTTTTTTTAGAGATTTGAGTATGGAGGAAAATAGAGAGGGTTGTGTTTTCTGACACTTGGTGAGTTCCCTGGAACACCGGGGACACATATTCATGTATAAAAGACGTACAAAAGTGCATTTTGCATGATAGGTCCCCTTTAAGGTACATTACCAAATGATTGAAATGCCCCTTTAAAGTAAAGGCCACTTAGAGATTTAAGGTTACCTGATTATAAACAAACACTTAGCCCATACAGATATCAAGGTGCATTTTATTAGATGAAGATCCAATGATATATAGTCAACATCAGCATCCTCCTTTACAAAATACATTAAAATTGAAACATTTTCAGTAAAAAAGTAGTATCGTACAGCCAATGTGGGGTACCAGAGAGAAAGCATGACATGACCTAAATCATATTCATTCATCATCGTATGGATCATAGATAAAACACAATACATTAACACTATTTACAGTCTGTAACACGGAGGTCGACATGAATGGTAATCCTCGTGGTGAATACACTAAATAGAATATATTCATATATTAGGATCTTTTGTTTACAAAATCATAATGCATTATATATATATATCACAGAGAAAGGCTATCCACAACCTTGGCTTTCAGCTGTACACACCCCCTTGTTTTGCAAAACTTTGACAAAGCAAAATGGGATCTTTTGTTTGGTTAATTTATTGTTGAAGGGTGGATTCTTTGGTTGTGCTGGGTTTAATGTCGCAGCCTCCGACTGCTGAGTTAAACGTATCTGTTTTAGGTTTGGTTGTAACTGGTTAGAGTCCATATACAGGGCAACTTCTAGAGCAATGTTTGCAACAGCGGGAAATTATGTGACGACAGGGCAACTCATTTTACTTTTCTAAACCAGGGTCACATTTAATCTGTCAAAGAAGGACCTGGTAGCTTCAATGGACTGTGGAAAAACAGATAAGATGTTTCATTGCAACACAAAATGTTCTTTTCACAAAAATGTGACGAGGACCGAGCACACAACTGGTCAGATCACTTGTATTACTTCAAGCATGCATTAACGTTGCATTTCCACAAGATGGATTCTCTCATTTGAAAATAACACATTCCCATTTGAGACAATTACACACCCAGCACATTAAGTTGGATCCTTGCCCTGCAATAAAAAAAGTTAGCACAAAGGTACCTGAGCAATGCTTCCCATTAATGTTACTTCAAATATTACCCAGGGGTTATAACTCAGAGGCCCATGATGCATGAGGAATATTGAAACCAAACAAATCTAAAACTGGGATAGAAGCTAAGAAGCTGGTGCATTTAGGAATAATAGAATAGTCCATCATATGCATTGCTTCACAATGTTGCCCAGTTGGTTCGTTATTTTTGTTTAGTTAGGGCCAGTTAGTGAAGATCAGTGTAACAGCAGTTAAACAGCAGTCATCCCAGACTGAAAGAGAGCCTAAGAGTGAAACCTTTTTATACATATGCATCTACAGTACACTCCTCTGTGGTCACGTATATACCTCGTAACTTCAGTAACATTAATCTTTATGTGGTAATTTCTTTTGCAATTTCCCTTGGCCCATGAAACCAGTCATGCATTGGCCATTTGTTTCAGTTATCTGAAATCACACTGTTATTTCCATTAAAGCAGGCATTGAGTCACCAGCAATCACCTTAACTCAATTTATCCTCTGAAAGCAAAAATATTCTCTCAGTTCTCGCAAACCTTTGGAAATCCCGGCCAAAGTTGTTCACCTGAGACACGCTTATGTTGTGTTATTCTATCTAGCCAAGTAACAAAGGTGGATGCATCGATGCATCTGGGAACACCAGACATACACGGGAAGGATCAGCAGATCACTTTACACGACTCGTTGTATTAAAGGATGAATCAAACCCAGGGGAACCGCTTTGCTGCTGAGAGGGCAAATTCCTGTGAGGTATTAGGACAAGCCGGTGGCTGTCTGTCTGTATCTCTTTCACTCGGGCCGTCCTGAGCTGCATCACTGGCATTACATGGAGTGAATCCCAGCCACAAGCTAGAGATCGGCCTGGTGGGCAGCAATCCCTGCACCCGACCCGCCCCCCATGTGCTTGGGCCTCCATGCCAAGCCTCAGCGCCAGGCCTCATCACTGGCCCAGCTGGCACGGCCCCGTACAGCCAGATTTGCTATAATCATCTCAGGTCATCTGATTTAAGCTGGGGACGGAGTGAATGCCCGTCAGCTGGTCAAACAGGGCCAATGAACCCCGCCAGGCCAGACTCTTTTTGGCTAAAATATACACTGAGCAACCTGTTGTCAGGAGACTTGTTTTAACATAAATGTTAGGCAAGGTGGAATACTTCAAGCAATGAAGAGGTATAGAGGGAGTGTTGCCACCTTTTTTAAAAGCTATCGACTTGTGTTTCATTAAAAACAACAACGGGAAAACATGACATCTTGCTGGCCAATCGCCTAGTCCTGCTAGCTGCGTACAAGCCCGCCTAGTCTGTCTCTCTGTCAAGCTGGGATGTCTGGGACCTTGATGTGTATGTGTGTGTTTCTGTGTGTGTACATCAAGAGGCGTGGTAGGGAGGGATGGGCAGAGTTACAGAGGTTAATGGTAAATCAGCCAAACCAAAGTCACACACTCACCCATCACACACAACCCCCTTCCCTCCCTCCCTCCCATCCATCCCGTCAACCCACCCCCCCTTTCCTCGGCTGCATTTGTGTCCCGGCTGCTCATCCCTCAGTCCCAGCCGTTGTCCTTGATCATGTGGGCCAGCTCAATGATGAACTTGCCCTCTTTGTACTTCTGACTGCTCTCAAAGGCATGTTCCTGGAGAGTGGGACAGAGGACAGGAGAGACAGCATTTAGTTAAAATGACAGATAGACGCCGAGTAATAACATGTTTATATCTTTGACAGACCGAAGCGCCGTGAAAAAACACAAGAGGTGCATACAAAAACTCTGCTCATGACAGTGCTTACAGCTGTGTATGAAAATATTTGACTCAGTCAGGGCCTATCACTGCTGCTTGCTCTTTGGGAGCTGGTTATATAACCGTCAGTCACTAAACGCTGCAGAGGGGCCTGCAGGACCAAATCTCTGACCAGACTGGATTGTCATAAGCTAGCAGGAGAGTTTCTCATTGGGAAACAGAAAAAAAACCTAAAAGGCCAAAGGGTTAATCCTTGCAATGGCCTACCCAGATGTAGAATCTGCTCTATTTTTGCAGGCTGTAAAATGCATTCCTACTGTTAGGTGTGTTGTCCAAAATTCCTCTGGAAAGTATGAATGGGATTTATAAGAAAGTGAGAACTACACGGAAGATGACCAGTTCCCCTACGTGTTTTTCTATTGAATGAAACAAATCGACTAACACCCTAATCACTATTTCTCATAATGTATCTATTGGTTTTCCTTCATAAAATATGTTGATTGCAAAAATCATGTAAAAAGCAGGATTGCATTAGCCTCGCTGACTCAGCAGTTTATGAAAACGTTGTGACTCACTAATACCTCCAAAACTATAGACGTTCCTCTCAGCCTCATTTGTGTTTACTTTAAGTTTGGTGCTAATTAGCAAACATTAGCATGCTAAATCGCTAAACTATAGTTGCTTAACATCAGTGTAGTTCTTACAAACAGTAAATGCCTGAAAATTAAGGAACATTTTTACCACCTCAGCTTGTTCCAGTTCCACCTCACATATCCCCAAATGTGGATATTTCTGGCCCCAGTAACTGACAATGATAGCAGAGAACCTTAGCTCCGAGCTTAAAAAGGTCTTTGTGGTAAATGTTGAGTTTAAATTAGATATGCTTGCTTTTTTTAGTTGACACGTCCTATAAAAAACACTATTTAGGGATATGTGGGGGGATAATTTTGAAACAGCTTTTGCTTGAAGCCTTTTTTACAGTCTCTAGAAAGAAGAGTCTTAGTGTGCTGATATATATAAATGTTCTTTCAGCGATTCACTGCGTCTTTACTTTGTTTTGTCTTTGGTTATTTTGGTTCAGAGCTGCAGAGGCACGTTATCATATTTCTTGGTTTAGAAGTGCAGTAGGTCAAGCCTCTCAAAAGAACTTTGAGGACTGCGGAAAATCAATGCTGCTGCAATTGATATTAATGGAAACCCTCCATTAAGTCCTATCTAGTGTCTGTGTGCTTATCGTGTGCATGCATGTGACTTCTGTTTACTCTGCCTTGTGGGGTCCTGACGGGAATAGAAACTACCCAGAAAAGTATCCACTTTTAAAGCTGGTCCACCAGGTGTTTACACCACTTGCATAAGGAAAATATTTATTTTTAGGTTAGAAGGTTATAGAATCAGGTTTAAGGTTAAACACGTAGCGGTGAACGCTATGGTTAGGTATGTGTGTGTGTGTGTGTGTGTGTGTGTGTGTGTGTGTGTGTGTGTGTGTGTGTGTGTGTGTGTGTGTGTGTGTGTGTGTGTGTGTGTGTGTGTGTGTGTGTGTGTGTGTGTGTGTGTGTGTGTGTGTGTGTGTGTGTGTGTGTGTGTGTGTGTGTGTGTGTGCGTGTCACCTCCATGCAGGCAGGGTTCACCAGTGACAGCTGCACATGCTCGTCTCTGTTGATATATGAAGACAGCTAACATGTGTTGATGTTGTTTGGCTCACCCTGACATCGTACCTAAAATATCACCTGCAGTAAATACATCCTACACGTGTGTCTTGCAAGTGGCAACAACTGGGTCTGAAAAGTGAAAACAAAACTGAATAGCCTTATACGTGCATTCTTTCTACTGTCCATCAGGGGGCGACCTCACTGGTTGCAAAAATAAGTCAGATTGTATAGAAGTCTACAAGAAAATGACCCAACTTTTCACATGATTTGTTACCTCAGTGAAAATGTTACTAATGACTTAATGGTCTCATTTGCTAGTTTAAAGTCTTGTTGAATACATGATGAGGTTAATTTAGTAAATGATTGTCCCACTTACAGTTAATTAGATGACAAAGCAAGGTGTGCTTTAGGGCGTGCTCTTGTTTAGCGTTCAGTTGTACTAGCTCTATCCCCTCCTGTTGATGCTTATTCCAAACTAGCAATGGCAAAAAATGCCAAATGCAAGGCTTCAAAACCGTCGTCCACAAACTAATGATGTCATGGTGACAAACACTAACTCTTAAATACAATCTATTAAATGTTTAAATGCTATATTACAGCTTTACAGAGACTTTGTTAATATCTCTCTAATATTAGCCCAAGCCATAGTGAGGCAAACTGTCATTTTGTAAATGTTCAATCAACACTAGATAAATAAAGATTTCTCCTTTGTGTCTCCATCTGTTCTGAGAAATCTATCTCATCATTAATCAGCCCACAGCTGTACCACGGCATTGAGAAGAGGTCCAAATATAAGAACCGTGCAAATAAAATTAGGGTGTGCTATAATAACCACCTTCCAGTTTATCCCCCTCTAACCTTGGTGAGCTTGTGCATCAAATTAGCCAAGGGCACTTACGTATTTCCAGCCTAGGGTGGTCTTGCAGTTCTCACAGTAGATATCTGCTACAGCATGCAGGCCTGTGAGTAGGACCCTCTCCTCTGCAGGGCCACACCCAACGTTCACCCTGAGAGACAGAGATTGGGTTTGTTGAGAGGAAAGTAGAGAGGCAGGAGAGACAAGCAGAGACAAAAGTTACAAATTAATATTGTGCAAGTGGCTCAAGTTGCTTGGTTGCATGTACTGTATGATGTGCTCAGAGTGAGTCACTGCCTCACACCCACCCACACAGCGCATACTGATAGGGCGCTAGGCCATGGAGAATAGATTTAAACAGCCTCGTTTTCACACTCAATTCAACAGATAATGACTATAAGGCACAAGCTGGTTCTGTCATCAACACTACATGCATTATTACCTAATTTAAAACACCTGAGCATGTTAGATAACTCGTCTCCAACCCACCTTGTTGACATATCGTCAACATGTGGGTTGGAATGCAGCAACAGAGGAATACTCACACTGAGTTGAACAGGTAGGCCCTGCCTTGGCTGCCTTGAAACGACTGCAGAGACGAGACGAGACAAAGATGAGAAGACTGAAACATGATTCGGTCTGATCATACAGTGAAGTAACTCTATAAAATGACAAGAGCACGCTGTTATATATTGCATTAATGCTTTAGTCAAATGAAAGAGAGAGTCTTAGTTTCCTATAAAACACCCACGTGTGATTTGAGACAGGCCTTGAAATAGGAGCTCTTATTTTAAAACCTATAGAGAAAATCTATTTTCATGTCTACTTTAAAATGGTGCGCAGTCTCCCAGTAACAGCCCGTATGCTACTGATCAGATCACAGTTGGCAAATGCATAAGTAACTTTACCACTGCCTTTTTTTCCACAACATTAAAGCTTCTATTGAAGAGAAACAATGAACAGATTTGTGTCGTCCACCTGTGTTACGACCGGCCGAAGGCCTTTGTGCACAGGTGTGCAATGTTTTCATATTCGCATGTGGAAAAGGTGATAGTGCATTCATAATCCAATTTACTAACCAGTTTATAACATAATCCATCCACAGGCAATAGTGTGGCGGCAGCTGACACAGACATGCAGGTGTTCAGCCTGTTGTTTGTTCTCTTAATTCCTCATCCGTTCTCCCTCTTTATTAATCTTCAACGCTTGTCCTTTTAATGACTGTTAATCCTTGTCAATTAAGAAATTTAAGAATAAATGAGAGACAAAAACTATACAGGCAATGCTTGTTTCTAAATTAAAACAACTTAATGTGAGATTGAAAAGTAAAAGCAAAAAAAAAGTACTTTTTCAGTCTGTAATAATTAGCCTCCTGGATGTAAGTACTGCCTTCGTGTTTTCCAGGGAGACAAGTCACCGGAGCAGGGTGCCGGTTACCTTGGAGATGAGCTCGTCGTGGTTGGCCAGGTGAGCTCGGCAGTGGATGCAGCTGTAGGTCCGGTGGCAGCTGGGCAGGTACGCCTGGAAGGTCTTGGAGCGCGTCATTCTGACCATGGGCGGAGTTGGCGGGCGGTGCAAGAAGGGACTGCCAGCCCAGGTCGGCTCACAAGGGAAGCACCGCAACACACAGGTGAGGGCCGTGGTGGGCGTCGGGTTGGGAGGCGAACACCTGAGCACAGGGGGGATAATATAATGGCTAATGGTTACATGGTTGTGTAACAGCTGCTTCCTTAAACTGGTTTGTAAACTGAGCCACAGGTGTATAATTGCTGATGGGATTACCACCTGCTCTGTGTGCTCAGAGAATTCTCCAGCCTGCTCGCATCTTTGAAACTCTTAAAGCCTCAAGGAAGTATAATGTAATGAGACGTCATGCATTATTAGCCTGGTAACAGTCACTTAAATTCACATTTAGGTTACCTGTGAAAACAAGGAAGTACTACTTTAACAGATGAGATTTAAACATTGTACAGGTGCAAGCTTCCACCGCACAGGTACTTCTGCCAAGAGGCAACAGTTAATTGTACATGACTCAGAGTAGAGAAAAAGCAAAGCCTGTGGCGAGCTGTCTATTGGAAAAATTCATGATAAACTACAACTTGGGGATAGTTTAACTTTAACCAGAGAATTGCAGACAGAGAGTAACAGGCTGCAGCCAATCAGTAAACAGAGTCTTGAGACTTTGTGACATAATGAACTATGTCACAAGGGTCTTCCTGCCTAAAATACATAAACATAAACTTTGTATACACTCAAATGGTCTACAAAATGAATGACATTACTCTCAGCCTCAAGTGTCCTTTGTGTTTAGTGCTAATACGAGAATATGCCATTGCTAACACGCTAAACTAAAAGGTTGAACATTATACATGCATTAAAACACATTAGCATGCTAGCATTTATTAAGCATTTTTGTGAATACGAGCATGCTTGCGTTAGCATTTAGCTCAATGCATTGCTGTTAGCATCTACAACCTCCCAGAGCTGCTTGTGTGGCTTTAGACTCTTAATTCTAGCTTCTCACATATGAGGGAATATATGGTTGACATTATGTAGACCAAACAATTACTGACTTATGTATGTTTGACAGGGTGTGTGTGTGTGTGTGTGTGTGTGTGTGTGTGTGTGTGTGTGTGTGTGTGTGTGTGTGTGTGTGTGTGTGTGTGTGTGTGTGTGTGTGTGTGTGTGTGTGTGAGGACCCCAGGAAGAATAGCCAATGCTCATGCTAGTGCTAATGGGGATCCTAATAAAGAACAACAAGAACAACTTGATTGTTATTGCATAAAATGGTATATTGAAAATAATAATTAGTGGCATCCATTCACCCGTGCTCAAACCATTTTACATTAACCAGTTCAATGCAGGACACACAGACAGCAAAGCTAGCTCTCATTCTGTGTTTAAGTCTATGAGGCTGCAAAGATAATCTGCTTAGTGTAGCACAACTGTGAGGATCGTGCTCTGCTCACTCCATGATATCCAAATAGACCGAGCCCTTAAAATACTCCTGCTGGTGTGCCCTGGTGACTGAGAAGATTAGTGAGCCGGCCTGGGAACTCGTCCCACAGGCTCAGAGGACGGGAGAGTGTTTTGACTAACTGTACATGAGATAGGTTAGGAGCCTGTGCTCTCTACCTTGAGCTGCAGATACAATCTTTGTGGTTTTATTGCTTAATGCAACTTTAATTGAGGGTTCAGCCCTGTAGCTCTGGTGCTAAACACAAACCATCAATCGCTAGATTTAATCTGGTTTTATTCCCCAGTGCTACTTCTCATAAAGCTGTTGAAGAGCCTCACTAAAACATTGTATTCTCCTTTGTATTGTCTACCTGCATATTTCAGTGGGAATGCTGATACAGCATTCCCACTATCTGTTCTTCGACGCACAAAATTCTTTATTATTCCGCCGGGTTATTTTGCACCTCTTCTTCTCCCACATTCCACATCGCATAAACTCCGTTCAAACATCAAAACGTTCAGCTCGGTCGGGAATCGATTGCTATTATGTTTCTTATTCATAACTTTCATAATTCCAGAGATACATCCCATAATTCATCAAATTTTTAACATGGAAGTCAATGGAGAAACTCTTCAGACTTGAACAATCTTCATGCAACTTCAACTGCTAACTTCTCCTTCATACTTTCACTCAGAAACCTCATTCCAACTTTAAAATGTTACACATCTTTCTGACATTAATCGTGTAACACAACTTTTAAATCTGATTCTTACTTCTAGAGATATTAAACATTGTTCAGACCTTGGTAAAGAGGCCTTCTTCAGATTTTAGAGTGCGTGATGTCACAGCTAGAGTGGAGGACAGATTTAATTTTGCCTTCATATTTTCTTTTAAACCTGCCATAATTCCCAAACCCTACATTCCTGAGACATAATTTTTCATGAGAAACGTAGGAAAACATCTCGTAGCTTGAAAAATTAAAAGAAATTAAGCAAAATAATTAAACAAAATGCCTCTTGAGGGCATGAAGTGACAAAAACTTTCAACATATCTCCATTAAACCCCATTGTAAATTCAGCCTCATCTTTCCCCACCACAGCAGCCACACACCTTTAGTTAATCTGCCAAAAAGGCCACATTATTAACCCGAAAGTACACAAAAAGTACACTTCAGATGCTCAAGTTCCTTGACATGCTTCACACTTTGAAATTTCACTGATATCTGTTACGGTTCTTCAACAAAACGTTCACATGTAAGAGGTTTATCTCTCATTCAGAACAATGAAAATGCTCTCCTCTCACTGATTACTGCACATCACCATGGAAACCTTTGATCTCTGGACATGTCGTTAGCTCAAATATAAACACCTGTGTCATGGAACACGATGATGTCATAACTCCAACTGACATGCTCAGAGCAGCAGACTTCAAATAATGGTTAACACAGCTCTACATCAAATAAGATAAGATAAGATAAGATAAGATGGTACTTTATTGATCCCAATTTGGGAAATTGTTTTTGTTGCAGCAACATAAAAGACAAGGCAAGGCAAATCTGATGTTACGTAATGTGGTGTTACTATGGCAACGCATCCCTCGCCATAAAACAGCAGCACACTTCAGATAATGGTTAATGGTCCTGCCCTCAACAGCTCTACGCCAAATCTGAGATCTCACCATAGGCTGTTGCCATGGAAACGCATCCCTCGCCATGAAACACGATATCGCTGTAACTCCAATGGACACGGTCCGACCGTCCCCCAAACTTCGCTTGTATATCACCTCTCCATGCCTCAACAGCTCTACGTCAAATCTGACATCTCACCATATGCTGTTTCCATGGAAACGCATCCCTCGCCATAAAACACGATGTTGTCGTAACGCCTATGAAAAGGGTCAAAACAGCACCAGACTTCAGATAATGGTTAACGGTCCAGCCCTCAACAGCTCTACGTCAATTATGGGGTGTTATCATATATCATATGCCCTTTCCATGGAAACGCATCCCTCGCCATAAAAGACGATGTCGCTATAACTCCTATGAAAATGTTCAAAAAGTGCTCAAACTTCACATGTGTTAACAGTCCAGCCGTGAAGACATCGACGGGACAGTTTTGAGATTTCTTCAATTGCCGTTGCCATGGCAACACAATGCTCACCATGAAACACGGTTTTCTCATAACTTCAGTGAAAATGCTCCAAACGGCTCAAAACTTCACAGGTTTGGTAACGATGCAGCCATCAATGCATCTAAGCGTATTATGGGATGTCATCAAATGCCGTTGGCATGGCGTTAGATCATTCGCCATCAAGTTAGTTCAAAAGTTTGCAGTTCAAATATTCTGCTGCTTTTCCAAGCCTTTTTACTTTCTTTTCTTCTCTCATCACACATTAGAGCCTCCAGTGTTCATGTATCATTTCAATCTAAATTCTTCACTTTCTTCTTACACATTACATTTCAGCATAGCAGTTTAGCGTCAGCTTTTCAGCATAAAGCATTCCCACTAGCAATTTCTTCAGGAATTGCATTCTCTAGTTTCAAATACTATTCTTTCTCCTTTGAATTGTCAATTTACAAAACAACATTTTCTAACTATGACTATAAGGGCTGTGACTCTATACAATTATGTTATAACTTGTTGTTTCACATATTCCCTTCACAACACACCATCCCATTCTGTCTCCTCTCCTTCCTGTCTGTCTTTACTGAACCATCTGGAAAAACTAATAAAAAACTGAATGGAAGCAGGAGGCCTCTGTGAGTTCAGCACTTGAGAGAGAGAGAGAGAGAGAGAGAGAGAAAGGCCTCTTGACTTCACTTCTCTGCAATATGATTGTTTTTAGAGTCAGAGGCTGATAGAGGCTTCAGTGCCTTTGGGAAGGAGCGTGGATATAAGAAATAAGGCAGTCAGACGTTGCCTTGTTTTCCCTTCTCTGACTTGGTGCCAGCCGCGTGGGATTGGGGCACAAAGACACACTCAGTACAGTCGTCGGAGTTGAACCCCCTGACACACACACACACACACACACACACACACACACACACACACACACACACACACACACACACACACACACACACACACACACACACACACACACACACACACACACACACACACACACACACTGACACACACTGACACACAGACCCAAAGCCTGTTTTATCCTCTCGGTTATTTCAGGACTGAGGACAAGGAAAAGTTTATGTTGGATCCAGTCCTCTGAGATCTGATCGAAATATTTAGATCTGTGTTACCTAATTGACAATTTATTACATAATTAAAGATGTTGAAGATTTTTATATTTGGCTGCTTATAACTTAGAGCTGAATTTATACTTAAAGTGGACTTATCATGCTATATTTGAATAATATAGTATAGGACCATACCTATATAAGGCATATTTATACTTTTTTTTTCAAAATACCAAACAGATCATGCATTTTAGCCATGCCTCATTTTGCTCAATTTGACATTTTTTAGCTCTGTTTTTGCAAGGGCAGATTATGTGAGAACAGCACCATCTACAGGCCTGGCATATGTACTACAGCGTCTCCAGCGCTTTCGAACGGCAATGGCCGTGGCTGTCTCCTCCTGATTGGTGGAGTTGGCCCAATAGCCGTAGCGCCACTGTCCTGACGTCAGGACAGTGTTCAAATCTGGATCAGTTTTTATCAGATCCGTTGCAGCCCCTTTTTTTGAGATTTGGGTATGGAGGAAAATATAGAGTGGTTGTGTTTTCTGACACTTGGTGAGTTCCCTGGAACACCGGGGACACATATTCATGTATAAAAGACGTACAAAAGTGCATTTTGCATGATAGGTCCCCTTTAAGCAAAAATGACAACAGTCTCTTCTATTTTTATCATAACATTTAAGTATTTTATAATAGCAAACTGAGTATGAGAATTAGACTGTTGATTAGCAAACAAGCTATTTGAATTGCAATTAATCAAGAAAATATCAAAATCTACACAAAGCCTGCTGATTATAGCTCGGTTATAAGTATCAGGTATTGCAGGTAAAATCAAACTGAAACTTAAAATATAATTACATAAAATGCAAGCTTCTTCTTCTTCCAAGCCTCTACCTCCCGCTGCATTTGCTACAAGTCACTCAGGATAAACCTATCAGTCTATAATATACACACATGTCAGTCACAACTGACAGGAGAAATGTTTACTTAAAATATCTTCCAAAGAAAAGCTCTCTGGGAAGCTGTTCACTTTTAGTGTCTTGACAGTGCATCATGACACACAGACATTGAACAGTAGTGCTGGATTATAGTATTGCATGTGATATAGATGTCATATATATATATATATATAACATACATCATTCATGTGGAGTTCTCTCTGTGTATTATCTGCAGTCTCTGGAGAATCAGAGTGCATGTCAGTGGCTTTGAATACTTCCTGACATGCATTATTCAAGTGATTAAAATACATTGTCACTCAGATGTTGTCTGATGAAAAATGCCGATAATCAACTTTTAGTATTTTTTATTGTTTAAAGGAGAGGTGTCATGGCCATTTCCACTGATCATAATTCCATTGTTGAGGTATACTAAAATAGATTTATACTGTGCATTTTTCCAAACTCACATTGGTTTCTCATACAGCATCTCTGTAAACTACTTGTATTCACTGAATTTCACTCTCTGCCTTTAACGGCTCGTTGTAGCTCCCAAAGCTCCAGCCCCCACCCTCCCTGTGAGCACAGTGTGCTCTGATTGGTCGGGACGTTGTGAATCGCGCTGAGCTCCGTGGAGGTGTTGTTTCCTTGTTTAGGATACATAGCGAAACACAGCCAAACTCATCCTGAGCACACACAAACTCACATCCGAAGTAAAAACAATAAGTGTGGCTTGATATTGAGTAAGAAAAGTTTGATAAACGCTGTGAGAATGGGTCTGCAGAGAGAATTTCGCCGCGATCCCAACTGTCTGTTATCAGCCTGCAGCCAGGGAGGAGAAATCAGCTGAGCTGCCTGCTCCCTGCACACAGATGTGTGTGTGAGGAAGTCCGTGGATTGGTCAATTTGGACCAATCAGCGGGGGCTTAACGTAACGGCTCCGCGGACGTAACGTAATGGCTCCATGGATTGGTCCATTTCGTTCCGGGTACGGCTTGACATAATGCCGTCCCGGAAGAATCAAATGGACAATGACGTATCTCCAACGAGGCGTTTTGGGGAGGTATTTTCTGTGTTAGAGTTTTACTCGCTATAGGGTGTACTTTGAGGGTTTTGACTCTGCACACCATTTACATGCACAAAAACCTTCATAACACACAAGGGGACGGGTAATAACCGGAAAAGCATGACACCTCTCCTTTAAGCTATAACAGCCAACGGTGCATTCTCCGTTATCATTAAGTGAATATTTTTGGGTTTTGCATGATCAGGCAAAACAAGATATTTTAGGATTCAACTTGCTTTCTGTGAACTCGTGACAAGCATTTATTCCATCTTTTCTGACATTTAAACAGAAATACCCGATTAACCAAGAGAATAATTGCAGATGAACTGAAAATGAAAATAATATCAGATTGCAGCCCTAAAGATGTTCTGGCTTTGATTTGGCATGCATAAAATCGACTGATTTGGCAATGCTTTATTCTTTCAGTATAGCCTGAAGTCCTGAGTCGTTCCATAAGAAAACAAATTATTATGACAGCTGCACAATGCGGATATTTGACATTTTAACACAATTAGTTTCCAAGAACAGGACAACACTCATCTTGGTGGGTGGACATGCTTGAAACTCATTCTGCAAAAGGCAAAATTGTTTGTGGGAACAAAGATGATGACGCACTGTAAAATGTTGATGGATAATCATAGTGCTTCTCACTTTAAAAAAAAAGCTACATTGATAGAATAACAAATTGCATAAATGATCAGATGACTAGAAGATCTGGTGGCTGTGATTCAGAGGGGCGCCAGCAGCAGGAAGTTTTAGTACGACTGACGTCTGCATAGCTTCAGTGTGTCTTTAATGTTTGTCCATCTTGTGTCTGTTTAGTTCTTAGTCTGCCTGTGTCGTCTCTCCGTCTGTCCCCATGCCTCTCAGCCTGTTTGTGTATTTGTTTTCCCTGCTGTCACTCTTGTCTATTCATCAGTTCTGCCGCGAGTCGCTTGAGGTCACAGTGCTGTCCATTCTGGTCATTTCTGGGTGTCATCACAAAGGGCTACGTGCCATGAGTTTCAACAGCCAAAAGGGCCCTTGTATCCCAACAAAAAAACCTTTGTTATGTAACGCACTGATGCTGCCGCTGCTGATGCTGCTTCTGACAATGATCGAGGGCAGGAGGAAGAGATTCAAAGCGGGAGGGGAAGATGAGAGTCAGACAGGGACAGAGAGGGAGTTAAATTGAACACAGAAAGAGAAAGGGAAGAAACAGTGTGTGTCCCTTTCAGCGGTGGATGAGCTGAGTGTGTCCACCATTGCCCACATGCTGCACCGACATGATTTCTGTACTTCATGTATTTTCATGCTGCTCTGAGAGAGACAGCATACAGCAGCATGACATCACTGAGTAAAGGAGGAGAGAACTGGGCTCTACCCCCCCGAACATATCAAATGTCACTGATGGAGCGATGTTTCTGCATCCCAGGTGTGTGTGTCTGGTTACTGTTGCGATGTTTGATCTGAACTCACTACCAATATCCTTCTGTCTGTCTCTACTCTGTGGAGAATTATGCAGCTTGTTTTCAGGTGCTTTATAAACTCTTACTTACACATTCTTAAAATGCTCATTATCTAGCTTGTTTGTACATCTCTGTTGCATTTCAATGTGGCTAGATGATAAACAGTGAAAGTGTCATAAAAATTGACAAAAAAAATACAAAGTGGCTGACCTGTGAAACCCTCGGCACACAAACACATTATAGATAACTTTTGTTTGTGTAGTACTATGTGCAAAGGATCACCTTTCAGAGGCCTGCAACACTCTGACCCCCAACATCGATCCCTGTGTATCGACTCCTCACATGATCAATAACTATCTGCATTCACACTTTGTAATGAAAATAGATCGGTGCAAAGGTTGCGACTAAACTGTCTCACGTGGACTTTATTTAGTAAATGCTTTGGGAGGAGGAGGAGGAGAGGGGGGGGGGGGGGGGTGCAGCATTTCCAACTCCTCTCTGCATGGCCTTACTTGAATGGTCTGTCATTGACTTGTTGGGAAGGGTAGATGTCACGTGGACAAACACATCAATAAATACACAAAAACATGAAGGCTTAAGGTTTACAGTGTGTGATTATTGAATCAGGTCACAAGCAGTGGCGCACTTCATCTGGGCACAACTTCGGCTACCACACGCAGCACAGATGGCGGGGATGCCTCAGCTCAGCAATTCTCATCACACACACACACACACACACACACACACACACACACACACACACACACACACACACCACACACCACACACGCAACTGACGCAACACACACTCTGAAAAGCTTTAACATCTGTAATGATTTTGCCATATCGATGAGAACAATGTGATTGTCGTCAGAGCTTATCATCACAATGTGCGTATACATGGTCCCCCGTATTGATCACCCCTGACGTGCACTATCACGACCAACCGCGCACACGAGGGGGATGGCGCATACGTGCTGGACTGCCACCACACAAACACCATGCGTCCTAATAATAACAACATGTAGGCTAGACACTTTAGATCCACTGCAGTGTATAACTCTGTATCCAATCTTCGAGGAAAGGACAAGTCCTGGGATGATAAATACATTTCAATGTCATGTAATACATGTTGTTCTTGGCAGGACATAATCTACAAGCAATACACTTGTTTTTTATTGTAATATCACTGCACTTGTGCCTGAATGTTAAAAGTTGCCTCGGTTAAAAAGTACTGTAAGGGCTGTCCATCACTAATCGACGCTGGAATAAGCTTCTTACAGCGATAGGAAAACAGTGCGTAACAACAAATGCACCACAGTGAAAAATAACGCAGAGGAAATCATTTTACCTTTGAAGGGAAGAAAACACGGATCTCCACGTAGCTTAGAAGATGTCGCACCTCCTCGTTTTTTCTCGTGGCACTGCCAATCCTAAACCCCCTTTCGCATTCCTTCCAAGGCAAATTTCCTCTTCTCTCTCCGGCCCTGACAAGTCCTGCAGAGACGCAATGTTTTGACGCGCAATGATGCCCAGCAGAGTTTAGAAGAGCAGAGGTAAAGAGTGCTGAAGCAACCAGCCGGAGCGAGAGGGTTCCCTCCAACTCACTTCCGCGTTCGTATAGAAACCGTTACACAGTCAGGACTGTTATTTCTCTCCGGTTTCTGTCCATTGTCTCATTGTTTTTGTTTCATTTAGTCGTTTAGCAGTATAACCTGTGTCTTCTGTTACATATACTGTCACATATTTGAGTGTTAGATGATGTAGGTATGCTTTTGTCATTGTGTTTTTTGTGTCTAAAGACTATTGTTTTGATGGTGAGCTCAAGTTCAAATAAGACAGTTAATTATAACAATAATGTGCATCACTCAAATGTACCTTTTTTGTGTTGTTGTTTTACATTTCAACCATCAAAACAAAGCTTTTTCATTTAAAAAAATGGTGTTCAAGGTACAAAAGCTTAAATGTATTTAGATATAAGATTGTGCAAACAAAAACACACATCATTTTAAGCAATCAAGAGAAAAACAATAGCTACACCACAAAGAACTATAAATAATAATGTTAATGATGATGAGGATAATAATTGGAAACATTTTATATATTTGGTGACAGACACCACTGTGTAGGCCTACATTTGATTTCTTATTTATTTCAAGTTTAAGAGTCTTTAATTTTAAGTAACACAACTTAAATGTCAGATTGAATAAACAAAAAGGTTATTAACAGTAGTACATAAACATTAATAACACATTCAAAGTAATTGAAGGTATTTGTTACTTTCACTACTGCTGCATAATGCAAAATAGACTAAATATGAATGATATTTTCCTGTATGTATTTGTTTGATAAATTTTGTGTAATAGTTTCAGATGTATTTCTCCTGTTTTGTCAGTGATGCAGAATCACAATAAACCATGGCAAAGATATTTTTAAAGTGCACCATCTTGGCGGCCAGGTTGGCAATCTTTGGCAAAGAGGACACGGGCCGTTTCCTCGATGAATGAATGACATCTGTAACAGCCAATTAGCGAACGGATAAGGCATAGCAACACTGAGCTCATTGGTTGAGGGTAGAAGCCTGTGACCAGTTATCTGACAGGAATATTACAGTTTTACTGTGTTCTTCTACGTAATGTAAAACACTAATAGCCCCGTGTGAGTGCAGTTTTTAAGAAAGAAGATCAAGCAGGGAAACAGCAGTGTGTAGAAAAATGAAAGGAAATTATTTTATGTAACAATTCATGTCCCGCATCATTCACTTTCTTTCTACAGGGAAAAGTTCTCAAATCACTCTAGTCTACAGCGCCACCTGCTGTCAGTCTGCAGGTAGTTACCAAACATAACATCTACATTTTAGCCAAATAAGTGCGGGAAACGATGTTATACTACACACACCACTCAGTTTATGACATCATTTTTAGTTTTTATTGACCATGGTTGAAAAGTACTTGTTCAATAATCACTTTTGAAATCAAATGGCGTATGTGGGATAAGGCATTTTGATAAGCAGCCAGGTCCCACAAACACAATCAAACACAACACAGATGAACAAATAATCATTTAGGCATGCACAACAAATGTTCCCTCAGTACAGCACAGGACAAATATATCAAAAATATTCATTAATGTAAGATCTGTTGATTGGTAGATCACACATCTTTCCCATCAGACAAACCACTGTGCAGATTTCACTTCAACCACTCAGACAGCACTCATAAAATACCCAACAATATAGAAAATAAAGTAGCAATAATGTTATTACTTTAAATACAGAACAATATACAGTACTTTCAACCAAAACTACATTCTTTACTGATCGTCACTCTCTGAGGTCACACATTTGGACTAGAAATCTTAAATGCTATAATAATCCCAAATGATCTTTGATTTTCTGACTGCGACACACAGTAAATAGCTGCTGTCTTAAATACATTTAAAATGTTAAGTGTAAAAAGAAAAATCAATCAACACTTATCACGTCTACCATATTTACAATATGCTTTAAAGCCCATACATAAAAAATGTATATATTAAGTTCAATTCTGTTTACGATCTTAATAACACAGGTGAAAAAGGCAATCCTCATTAATTAAAGTTACAAAACGAGATAATCGTCTTTGTGCAAAATCAGTTGATTCATATGGTTCAGAGAAAAACACAACTCAATTACAAATAACATATAAAGATTTATTTAAAGAGCAGTCCGCTGATAAAATGATTGTGCCTTTGAATTTTAAATAAGGGTCAGCGGCATGACCCAACTCAGTAGTCATACTGCACCATTTTGTCTTTATTTGACTAGTAGCACATTTTTGATTGCATCAGGTCACATATAAAAATTATCTAACAAATACTTACAATTTGGATATTGCATGTAATCGACAGTCTGATAGGAACATGGAGAAATACATTGTACCTAAAAACATTCTAAAGCTGCTGGTAAATTAACATTAAATATTACTGCAAACTGTCATTTGAAAGACTGGAAAAAGGCGAAATTATATCTTGACATTAGTAACGCATAAAATTGTTTGTTATGAAATTCAAGGGTGATAAGATTTGCAAAAACTGAAGTTTGATATGCATTTTGTCCCATTTTAAATAGACTTTAGATTGTGTTGTTTGTAAATTGCACAAAATATGCAAAGAACAAAACTCTAGGTAGATAATAATATTAAGCAGAGTGTTTTATATGATTGAAATTAAATGTTTGTGTCACCAGTACAACAGCTGGTTCCTCAGATCAGTGCTGTATGCAGAGCCTGACTGTGAAACACTGAGGAGGGGGCTGGTTTAGCAAGGACTCAGATTGTAGGTTAATCACATATGAGGGGGAGGGAGGTAAGGTAGATTTTGGCAGGTCACCTGGGCTTAGAAATGCCATTCAGGTCCAGGAATTCTCTAAGCCTGGTGGGAAAATCTGTCATAACTCCTGTGGCTCCCAAGTCAAATGCCCTCTGGAAGTCCTCCTCGTCATTCAGCACCCAAATGTACACCTGAAACCACAGGCAGGAGTTAAACACACACACACCTTACAGTGAAGGGATTCACACAAGGACAAATAATGCTTCTGTGCTCTATCAGCTTTGTTAGCGGCCACTCAATCCTATTTTTGAACTTGTAGAAACCAGAGACGTTTCCCAGTAACTGCTCTCAACTCTAAGCATACCACTGCAACAACAAACAGCTCTCAGAATGCAGACAGGCTCTTGTTATGCTATGGAAAGATTTGTAATCATTCCTGGAAGTAAAAACAATACAGGGAAAGTGACTGAATCTTGGCAGAATCCTGTCAATGTCCCTGGTTGCTCTTGACATTGTATGTAAACACTGGATACACAGCCTCCTTCAAAGGTCCCCTATTATACTGTTTTTCATCAATATATTATAGGTCTCAGATATATACAGAACATGTCTCTGAAGTGTTTGGCTCCAAATACCAAACAGATCATTGTAGCATCCCATAATCCCCTCTGTTTCAGCCCTGTTTCAAAAGTGCTGATTCTCTGTCTGTTACTTTAGATGAAAATAAGGAGCCACTCCCCACGCCCCTCTGAGAGATATTTGGTTAAAAAGAACACAATGGTGCTCTAGGAGGAGATTCAGGTGATAATGTGGGTGAGGGTTACCTTGGTTGGTGATTGGCTAATGGTTACACAAGCCAACAAATCGTTATGACATCATAAAGTGGCCAAAATCTGATCAGCTCATTTTCAGACAGGTTTTTATAAATGGATCAGGACGAAAAGAGAGAGAATCTTTTTCCCTGAAACTTTCAGAATCTCTTTACACAGAGGGGACACATGTTTCTGTATAAAAGACATGAAAAAGTGAATTTTGCATAATAGGTGACCTTTAATGTAAGCAGAAGGGTTTGGAGTAAATAATAATAATAAGATAAAGGTCAATTGACTTAATAGGCATCAGCTACTCCTTATCATTACCCCTACACAATTTGCATCCACTAAAAATTCAATAATTTGTGTGCAGAGGTTTTTCTTTTATAAGAACTACTAGAGAAGCTACGTAACAGTGGTTTTACCTGTATTCCCCTGGCAGTAAGATGCTGAAACAGAGTCTTTCTCATCAGCAAACTGCAAGAGAAAAAATAGAAACTGCAAATATAGCAAAGCTAAAGATAGGTTTAGTTTTACAGTTGTAAATGTCTTGCATTAATCACGGTCACAGTAATGTATATGTGTATTATTGTGTAATGAGGTGTCATAATTCTTCCCAGTGTCCCCGTACCAGCATTTCTAAAAAATCCCAACTATACTGTTCAACGAGGGAGAAATAAATACAATGATACATTATGAAAAAGTGAAGATACACAAGTTTACAGATTTAATGTAGTGTGTTACAAATACCCAAAGATTTTGCAACTCTGACGATAGAATTGAGAAGACAGATGGATTTCAAATGATAGGACAAATGAGAGACTTACGTGTCTGCAAGCCAGGTAATTAATCTCTGACTCCTCGTTAATCTGTCAGGATCCTTTATTCTGCAAAATCACATAAAAAAGTGTCAGAAAGTTAAACACTCTGATGTACTTGCCACAGTCAGAATCAAGAAAAAAACATTTTCTTCAAATGCAACCGTGGTAATACATTTTTATATCTGATTGATGCTCTTTGCATTACGGGTTATTTTAGGTCAAATACAGCCAAAAGCTGAAATAACTTGTTTTTATGCGTGTATACCTACTTGGTAATAATAGAAGGCATGGGGATCTCCAGAAACTGCTCCTTGAGGGGAACAAAAGGCAGGAGGCCGGTGTAGAAGAGGCCTAACAGCTGCAATACTCTGAATAGGCTGAACAACACTGGGATACGCGGGTTCTGCAAAACACAAACACACAACCAGGATTCATGTTCAATCCCTCAATTCAGTCACTACTGGTTGATATAATATCAAATACAGAGCTCTACAGTTTACAACAGATTTAGTATTTTTCTTGTATTGTAAAGTGTAGATTTCATTCTCTCTTATCCATGCCAATATACGGCCTAATAGATACAAATAATAGTGTT